CTAAAACTTAGTATATATATTTCTTATATATCTTTAGATTATTAAAGAAAATTAAAATATTATTAAGATAAATAATTATAAAGATATTAAGATACTTCTAAAGTACTTAATTAATTATTTATTAGAATATTATAAATATATTTATTAGTCTGAAAGATATAATAAGATACTTATAGAGACTAAACTTTATTTTAAATATTATTTTCTATTTATCTCCTTCCTTAATTTATATTAGATTATAAGCTCCCTTTAGATCTAGTACTATAAACTACTATTTACTCTATAACTAGTCTCTGAGTTTAGTAATTAGTAGTAAGAGTATTCTATCTTTATATATAATTTTATTTAGCTATTAATAGTTAATAACTAAATAGAGTTTACTATTCTTTTTTAGTATAAATATTATAGAGTATCCTATAGATAAAGTTAATAGTTATATATAGTCTTTTACTAATATATTATTAATATATTTATAGAGTATTTATAACTAAGGTTCTATAAGATTATATAATTTATAGAAATTAGATTCTCCTTCTTTAATAATAGAGATTTTATAATTCTACTAGCTATATTCTAATAGCTTTATTTTAAGTTTTTCTATAAATAGTATTTTCTTAAAATATTTATATTCCTATAGAATATTTTTAAGATATTCTTCTTATCTTAAGTACTTAGCTTATTTATACTTATACTAGATATTTTTTTTCTTATTCTATTATACCCTTTATTAATTATTTATTTAGCTCTATTTCTAAATTCTTATACTAAATAGTTTTAGAAGTAGCTTTTCTATTTTCTTCTACTATTAGCTATATTTAACCTTATATTCCTATTATTATTCCTTAGTTAATTATTCCTAATTAATAGGTACTAAATCTATATCTAAGAGTAGTTCTTACTTTTATATCTAATCTAAAACTTATATTATTTATCTTAGTTCTTATTATAATAGTTTTCTTATATTATTAGGTTATAGTACTATTAAGGCTAATACTATTATATCTACTTATTATTATAAGTTATTATAGTTTTTTATAATAGTACTTTTAGATATTAAAAAGTAAATATATTTTCCTAATATCTAATAAAATTTTAATTTTTATTAATTCTAATATTAGTATATAAGAGTATCCCTTTACTCTATCTAGCTAGTATACTAATTAATTAGTAGATTTATATCTTAAAGCTATAATAACTCTAATATAATTTTATAGGTTTCTAATAGTATTAGGTTATAGGTAATATTAAATTTCTTTTCTTAGATTTTAATTATAAGATAATTAGTCTCTTAGTTAATAATTCTATTATTATATTTAAATTTTAATTCTTTAATATTTATAATTATATAGATTTTCTCTTTCTTCTTCTATAGTAGATAGAGTTAGTTAATTACTATTAGTAAGATATAATTTTTCTATACTTTATAGTTAATAAATACTATAAGCTAGTTCCTCTTAATCTTTACTTTTATAAGAATATATATAAAGCTCTCTACTTCTATAGCTTCTAGAATTCTCTAATCTATTATTAATATTATTCTATACTATAGCTCTATTATAGATAGTTTAGATTATTTTTTACCTAATTAACTTATTCTTAAAGTTATTTCTAATCTTTATTACTTTTTAATACTTATTTAAGAATATTCTTAAGATTTTCAGGTTTTTCTATATAACTAGAGATATATCTTATAAACTTAATCCTTTAATTATATAATTCCTTAATTATTATAGATATCTTATTATTAGAGTAAACTTTATCCTATTTCTTTTTATTAGTTAAGATTATTCTCTATTCCTCTATTTTACTACTATCTTTACTATTTATAGGAAATAATTATTCTCTTAAGTAATATTCTTAGAGTTCTTCCTTCTATAATTATTATTATTTAAAGTATAATTTAGTAGTATTTATATTATTATTACTATTCTATACTAGTACTAGTATTTCTTATTTAATCTCTTAATAGTTTCTATAATTCTAGTTATAGTATTATTTAATATAGCTATTATACTTATATATTATCTAATCTTCTATCTACTAGTAGTTATACTATAGTTTAACCTTATTATCCTTATAAATCTTATATTTCTATTCTTAATATATTTCTATTAGAAGTTCTCCTTCTATATACTCCTTAGAGTACTCTTTTAGATCTTTCTTAAAGATAGTATAGAATCCTATTCTATAGTAATAGTAGATAAAGTATTATATCTAAACTATACTATACTTCCTAGATATCCTTCTATTAGGAAATAAAAAAAAGTTATTTAGTACTTTTTTCTATTAGTATATAGTATACTAGATATTATAATATATTATCCAGGATTCTAACCTATAGTTATACCTTCTACTAGTATTTATATATATTAGATTCTTATATCTATTACTAGAGTACTAGATAGTATCTATAGTATCCCTTCTATATAATACTATTCTATATACCTTCTTAAGGTTTTATATTTATATTTTTTATTAATAGTAAGTATAGAGTTTATTATATTTAATCTTAATTTTATTCCTAGTAAATATATATTAATCTTATTCTTTAGAAATATATTTAATAAGTTTATTTATATAGCAGAATATATATTTATATTTAGTAAGAGATCTAATATCTATAATATCTCTTCTATCTTTAAACTTCTTTTTAAATTCCTAGAGGATATATATAATATATTATTAGTTTTCCTCTAATACTATTTATTCTTTTTTCTTATTACTAGTTTCTAGTATCTTATAGAATTTTAATATAGGTTTTCTGGAAAATACAGATACTATAATAACTATATAGTTTCCTTCCTAAGCAGTCTTTCTAATTATTCTAAGTATCTTAGTTTTAGTTTTTTTAGTTACTTCTAATTATTTCTTATTTTCTTTAGTAGGTTTCTAGTTCTTCTATTTTTTTAACTTAGGGTATTATAATAAAATATATCTAATCTTATTATAGTTATAATATTTATACTTTTCTATAGCTCCTAGCTCTATAGAGCTTATATATATCCCAGAGATTATAGTTTATTATTACTATTATAACTTATTATTATTAGTATAGTATATTACTTTCTTACTATAGGTTTACTAATAGTATTATTAATTATTAATTCTTATAGCTATAGTTATATATTTATAAATACTTACTAATCTATCTTCTTTATAAAGTTCCTTTTAAACTTCCTTCTTTAGTTTATTAAAATAATAAGATATAGTATATTCCTAGTTCTATCTAGTTTTTACTAAAAGCTAGAGGTACTTACTACTAAAGATAAAAATAGATCTAGTCTAAGAGAGTTTATTAATTTTATATTCTATTTTATATCTCTTATCTTAGATTCTAAAGATCTATTAGAGAGTTTCTATAAAGTAATTAAAACTAGTTATAATATTAATAGTTTATTAGCTTCCTTAACTATTAAGATATTCCCTTATAATAGATTTAAACTAATTAAGTATAGCTCCCTTAAGTTATAAATAGATATATATAACTTATTATTTATTACTATTAAGGGTAATAGGAAAATAGTTAAAATATACTCAGAGTTAAGTTATAAAGCCTTAAAGTTTATCTTAGATCCTATTAAATATCTTAAATAGTAGTAGCTTAAGTAGTACTCCTAGCTCTCTTCCTTAGGCTATAGCCTGAGCCTGGGCTTAAAGATTAGTATTCTGAGTAGCTTACTATCCTATAAGGATAGTAGTAATAGTTATTTCTTATTATATAGTTATAAGGTATTTCTAAAGCTAAAGAATCTAAGCTTATAAGAGCTTAAGCTTAGTATTATTATTTCTATTACTACTACTATTACTACTATCTTTATCTATAGTATTATTATTATTTAGAGTAGGTAGATTATTAATAATAGGGTTCTACTATTAAGCTAGAGGAACTATAGTAGTTATAATATCTTCTTTATTATTATATAGTAATTAAGATAAGGTAATTAGCTAAATAAAAGTTATTAATATATAATAGTTAGATAATTTATACTAAATAGGATCTAGGGTAAATTAGGGTTTAAACTAATTAAAGTATTATTCTAAGTAATATAATTAGGTTATCTTTAGACTATATAATATAAGTTACTATTAATATATAAGTATTATAGAGCTAGTAATAATAGATATATAGATAATTATATTAATAACTATCTAAGAGAGTATTCTATCTAGTAAAATAAATATATATATATACTAGGGGATTATTAATACTTAGTAATAATCTATTATCCTGGATTATTAGAATTATTATAAGATCCTAATAATCTATTAGTAATTAGTTAGAAAAAAGTAGGATAATCTATATAACTTTAATATATAATAATATAATTTATAATACTTAGTAGGATATTTAATTAGAGTAATAAAGGCAGTAATATATAAAGTTCTGATAAGAAGTTAATTAATCTAACTGATAGTAAAGGTAGTAATAAGTAGGAGTTAACTGATTTAACTGAGTAGTAATATATAGCTAATTATCAGGGCTTTAATAAGTACTTAGCTTATCTGTAATAATAAAAGTAGTAATCTGCAAAATAGGCAGATTATTAATATAGACTTAAGCTGTATAGTTTATTCAGTAAAAGGACCAGACCAGAGATAGCAGTTTTTAAATAGATAAAAAGCAGTATCTTAAGGTTTATAAAAGAAGTTATACTAATAAAAGAGTTATTACTAGATATAGTATTTAAATTTAAACCTTATATATAGCTAGATATAGTTATTATTAGTATTAAACCTTATATATAGCTAGATATAAGCCTTATAGCCAGATAAAAAGACTAAAGTTAGATATATTATAATACTGGGTATAGTATTAAGTTGTTAAATTCTTAGTATTTAGGAATTTCCTTCTTTTTTTCAGCAGCTGTATAGCTCTCTCACTTACTGTCTTGGGGGAACTTAAAATAGAATGCGTACATAGCTTCTGATAATTAGAAAATGCTCCCATGCATTGGTGGAGTCCGGTAAGAAAAAAATTGTATCTGTACCATTCGAACTAACTATGTGTGCTTTGGTATAATAGACAACAGCTCCTTAGCATACGCAGCTGCTATCGCCGCAGCATGTAATTGCCAGTCCTTGTTCTTGTGGGAATCAGCGTAATCACAAATACCACGAACAACCAAACATGGAAAGTTATTCATAAGCCCAGCCGCTTCCATTTCGACACACAGTGCGTCGGTTTCCTTACGGAGTCGTTCTCGAGCAGTACCGTCGCGCATGACTCTGTTAGCGGATGCTATCGTTCCGTAGTGAAATTTTGGCCGTGTCTTCACACGTGGTAGGCGCAACTGCAACCGGGCTGGGTCACATTCCACGCAGGTGGGGTTGTTTCCTTCGTGATCATAATCGCTATTGAACAACTGGTCTTTCTCAACGCCTGGATATGACCAATTGTATTCTGAATCGGGGTATTTGGCTTGCATACGAGCTAAGTGTCCTAAGACCGAAGACACTAGTTCAGGTGACCCTGTAACTTCTTGACTTTCAAGGCGTGAAGCGGCATTGAGTAAGATGGCCGGCGGGTGATTCAAATGGCCCGTCAGTACCAAGTTATTGCCTGGAACAGCTTTGCCATGATCATACTGGATGACCTTTTGGCTGATGACAACATCTCCCAAGCGCACGTCAGAGTTTGTGCTCGGCATACCGCCCCCAATACCCACCAGCAAAAAGTGCTTCAATGCAGGAAAGGTTTGGCGCATTTGTCCTGCTGCCACAGCCGCGGGCGTTGTACCTAAAACCCCAGATGGTAGACAAACTACGACGATCTTCAGGTGCGCAATCTGGCCAAGAACGTAATTGTTCTCATCTAGCCTGTGTTGTGGGGGAGCTTGGTAGACTTTCTCAAGCATTCCTTCAGCTGCTGCCATCTCCGTCGGTAACGCACAAACCCATCCTACAGTGTAATCATTGGGCTCAGGAGACTCTTCGTTAGTAGTTGTGCCTGATATGGCACGTTTGAGGTTCAAACTAGTAATTATTTCCCCATTGCTTGAAAAGTCTTTTGTGTTAGATTGAGTTCTGATAAGGTTCTCTACATTTCCCGGATCAGGCTTTTGCGTGCGACGGTGAGCTTTTGAACTGAAATGCTATCGCAAGAATTTTTAGCGCGAGGAACAACTAAAGGGATGTTCGTGGGTAATGCCTAACCATTTTCAGTTCGTTTTCATTGGGGAAACGTGTATCACAGGGTTTGCAGTAGTCCTTGTAGTGGTCCTTGTCTGCCATGTGTTCCTTTGCTGCTTGGTGCGTCATGAACTTGACCGCACAGGTTTGACAGGGAATCTTGGGGCTCCAATGCCCGACTTGTGTCATGTGCGCTTCTGCTGCCCTCCGATCTTGAAACAACTTGTTGCACTGATCGCATTTCTTCCTTGGTTTTCTATGGCCCATTTCAGCCATGTGCTGCTTGCATGCTTCCTGAGTAGCAAACGTTTTAGGGCAAGTCTCGCATTTAGCCATCTTCACAGTCTGGTGGTTGTTGCAGTGGATGATGTCGAGATCACAATAGTGAGGGCTAAACGAAGTGAGGCCTGAAGTTCATCAATAACCCCGCACGGTATGGGCTGATAACACCGAAAACTCAAAATCATTGGTTGTCGGTTGCAGCCAACCAGCTTAAGTGCACATACATTCGTGAAGGCTCTACCTGGCGAGTAAGCAGAATTACGGACCCGTCTTCGTAAGCTATTGTCTATGGACGTAGAGTTGTTTAAACCGGATGAGTAAGCCTATAACGCGTGAAGATCATTGTGACACACGTACAACCACCAAGCAAGTGAGAGGACAGGGTCCTGGTTAAGACTTATGAGGATCTGAAAAGAGTGCATAGATTATTCACGAACAGATATGCTTTGATACCGTGCGTGATTGGCTTTTGGTGAGCTCGCGTGTGCGTGTCTTCTCAATTGGCCATATTTGAGGCATTCGACACCACACGAGATGGTTGACATGCTCTGAGCTGTATATATATACTCTTTTAATTGATCAGTTTTGAGGCTGGGTAAGCTTCGAGCCATATTCAAAATGTTTAATGGGCCGCTAGGGGAGGCACAGTTCAAGCTGGGTACATATTATGCGCGCCCTGCCTTACTGGCTGTGTAAGGCCCCATCAGATTTATTCTCCCAGATGTAATAAATACTACCTCCATAGTTAAGCATCGAGCGTACACATAATATCATTGTTAAAATATAATCACTGGTTTCGCGACCCAGTGTTGTGGAGATTAATGAGGTAAACCTGTCGCTGTGTTACTGGTAGATATGCTCCCACTGGGTACCGTGCATATGCATTCTACACATAGAGTTGGAAATACATAGCCATTTAGATCTTGACATGTATTTAGAGCTAATGGACCCATAGACTGAAGGTTTCGTGAAAAGCGTTGAATGCCAATTTGCTCATGTTTTCCACAAATGAAAGACGGCTTGTCCCTCAATACTGCAGAAAAATGTATTATCGATGGAAACAAGGGAAGAGACGAGTGTCGATTACAAGTTTGAAAATACTCATTAAAATATTGTTAGAGACCGATCATGATGCTCCGAGGTTCGAATTTTCTCAACAAAAAAGATTGGAATCAGGCCGATATCCCTCAGGTGGTTTGAAGTGGGGACTTACAAAGGTACCATCCTCGTTTCTAGGATTATCTCGTGTTCTTACTCAGATGTAGCATGATAATCAACTTGGAGTTCCTCTTAAACCTTGGTTTGCATATTATTGGCCGGTATCGGATAATTCGGGTTTATCGGGTTTGATCCGCTTATATTTCAGCCGCGAAAGGCCATGAGACTGTGACTGTTCTCGGGTCGCAAATACTTCGGTGTTCTCGCCAAGGCCCAACCTGCGTCCAGATTGCAACTATCCTCCTGAATCCAATATTTTCTCGTTACTGCTTCGGCTTTACTCTTTCTAGACGGTGTGAGGCAGGTGGTTCTACTGGTCCCATATGCAATGCAACGTGCAGCGCAGGGAGCAGAATACGCCACCGTTGCTTACCGTGTGCAAACCGATCATTGCAATCTCATAGCCGACTGAGCTCCGATTGTCACCTACCCAAGAGATAATCCTGAGCTATCCGTGGTCGTCCTATTGGATATCAAAGCAGCCAAGCTGACACGAGTATCCTCGATATCTCTGTAGGGGTCCGATAGCCAAGCAAGTCCCTTGTCTGCCAAGCACGAACGGAGAATCCCTATGAACTGGTGCGATAAAATATCTGGGATTATCAAAAGAGCATACTAAATATCTTCAGCATAAGATATCAACCACTGCCGACGCTGCCCTGGAAAACAACGTAACAAATAGCCAACCAGTAGGTCAGATAGTATTAACCAAATAAATCGGGAGGAATCGATTCACGAAGCTCTGTATATTTAAGCCGGCCCATCCGGGTGCGTTTGAAAGGCACCTCTTCTGATGTAAGGGTTTGAAAACGTGTAAAGATTATTAGGGTGGGGGTTCATACTTCTGTGTAGAATTTTGCATAAAATCTATGTGGCTTAGAGTAAGCGCGCGCTATACCGCCCTTAACGTGATGCAAACGATTCTAAACAAAGCCTCGTGCATTTTGAATACCACCTGAATGATGCATGAATAAACTCAAGATTATCGCTCGTTGCGATTTACTGGTCTTTCGGTAAGGCGGGCCGTGTTGCGGCTGGATTCATGATTGATAGGGCAAAGACGTGGGTTGTAATTTGGGCGTCATCGGAATGATAGATCCTTCAGTTGTTCGTTCCATCGCTCGCTCATGCAGGGGCACCATGTTGCCGGTAGGGTCCCGGCCGGAAGCCTGCCGGACACAGGGATTCCTGCAAAACTGAGCCCAACACAGGGTTGGTTTAGACCAGTATGAAGCAAGGATGGCAAGGTGTGGTCTATTTCAGCGAGTTGTTGAGAGATAAGACACGCAGTTGATGGCCACCAGCCAGTCCAGTAGTCTATACGTAATGCACAGTCAGAACATACCTGCAGGGCGGTATCGGCTGATGCATGCACAGGGAAAGTCTTCGTGTGTGAGCTCGTACATCGCTCCACCGTTGATTGCAACCGCAATATCGGTTCGGAATGGTCTTTAGCTGAAAGGCAACGGACTACGATATGGCGGCAGTTAAAGTATAAAAAGGATGGGTTTTCTCACAATCATTTGAGCTGCCAGCAGGCCAGTAACATCAAGCTTCATTGCAATGCATTTCAATAGGTTTCTTCTAGCCCTGCCTTTGGCAGCTGGCTCGTTTGCGAACTCTTTTCATGTTAGAGATGATGAAAAACCAGTGCAAGATATCAATATCAACAAGCAGTTCATAATTCAGGTTGAGCCGGTATGTATTTACCTCTGCAAGTCAGAAATATTTCCTGACACAATCACTAGGGAACCAACTTGGAAGGCCTCAAGAAAGAATTGTCCTCAAATAACCAGGCCAAGATCTTGAAGACCTTTGATTCTGACGTTTTTACTGGTGTCACCATCGAATCTGATGGCTACAACGTGGATACTTTGAACAGAATCGATGTAGTCAAGCAGAGCTGGCCCGTGTCAAAGGTCGAGCTCCCTCCTTTGGAGGATCTTGCTGAGCTGGTCCAAGTCAATGAGGCGTCGAACTACTCGATCCACTCTTGGACTGGTGTTGACAAGGCACACGAAGCGGGCATTCTAGGTAAAGGTGTGAAAGTCGCTATTGTTGATACAGGCATTGAGTATACCCACGACGCTGTGAGTTTTCGAGCAGAGATCAGGATATGTAATCATCGGCTCACAGATAACAGCTCGGCGGCGGCTTTGGCACCTCATATAAAGTTTCAGGAGGCTATGACCTAGTTGGTGACGGAAGTAAGTAATAATAGTATCAGCTTGCAGATTTCATCGGCGCTGACGAGGGCATATGATAGATTGGCCTATTGGTGCCCTCGCCCCTGATGACGACCCCATGGACAAGCGAGGCCATGGCACTCACGTTGCGGGTATAGTAGCCGGGAAGACAGATTGGTGCATACTTAATCTTCTTTCAATCTGACTCTATATTAACGCTATTTCAGGTTCACCGGTGTGGCACCCGAGGCGGAACTACTCGCATACAAAGTATTTAGCACAGACGTAAGTCTTGCCGAACAAACCATGCTACCGCCTCCCCTTGCTGACCTTTCTATAGAGCAACACTTATGATAACATTCTCATTGAAGCATTTATTATGGCATACGAAGCTGGCGTGAGTGTTTTTGAGATCCCCCATTGCTTGCCTCGGAGACTTACAAACAGACAGGCCGATATTATCACTTGCAGCGTTGGCGCTGCAGGCGGTTGGTCCAATGGTCCGTGGGCCACAGTTGCATCTAACATTGCTGAAAAGGGCGTCATTGTGACGATTGCGGCATCGAATTCTGGATCTTACGGTCCATTCTATGCAAATTCCGGCTCGTCTGGCAAGGATGTCTTAGCTATTGCCTCGGCAAAGGCGGGAACGCTCGCCGCTTCACCATTTGAGCTCAGTTTGACCTTAGATGGGAAGACAACAACTTCTCAGGTTGGATACCGCTACAATTATAACCCTTGGATGTTCAAGGGCATGAAGGTATATCCCCTATATAACGACACCAAGAGGGATAACCAGGCATGTACGGCCAACGACATCCCAGAGAATACCCCTGACCTGTCCAACGTCATTGTGTTGATCAAACGAGGTAATTGCGACTATCTTGAGCAAGAATTCAACTTGATATCACACAATGTGACACAACTTATGTTCTACAACAATGGGAGCAGCCCTGATGATCCTATCTCGTGGCTTTCCCGCTCCAAGGCGTTGGTGGAGAAAGAGGTCGGAGAGGCAATTGTTGAAACAATCAATAACGGTGGAGAAGCAACGGTTGACTTCCAGAAGTATGCAGATGCCAAATGGTATATGGGAATGTATAACGGGGTCGGAAATCGACCTAGTTACTTCACTTCATGGGGCGGCTTGTTCGATATGGATCTTAAGCCAGATGTCGCTGCTCCTGGCGGAGAGATTCTGAGTTCTTGGCTTGGTAACACCTGGCGTATTGCGAGCGGTACATCCATGGCCACTCCATATGCAGCTGGAGTTGCGGCATTGTATTTGAGCAAATTCGGTGGCCGTGATACCCAGGGAGCAGGAGTGTCGAAGGAGTTCAACAACAAGGTAATCACCGGGGGCTCTTCAATGCCCTGGTCGATTGTTGACAAGACCTATCCAGACGATACCGGTTTCTGGGCTCCCACCATCCAAGCAGGAAGTGGATTGTTGAACGCATGGAAGGTTCTGACCTACACAACCACACTAGGATCCTCAAAGTGGCTTCTCAACGACACGGAACACTTCACTGGGACGCACAGTGTAGAAATCACGAACAATGCAGATACTGAGGTTGAATATGAATTCAACTTGCAACCTGCAGCAGGTGTCCAAGCCGCACCTTCAAGTGGTGTTGGAGTGGCACTGCTCAATCAGATCAAACCTGTCGAGATGGTTCCCAGCGTTAAAATGCCCTCGGGTACTTTCAAACTGGGAGCTGGAGAGACGAAGACAGCCGAGTAAGTAGAGCACAATAATCATACGACCAATATCTAATTTACGTACAGATTCGCTTTCGACTATCCACGGGGACTAGACGAGAGCAAGCAACCTCTATACAGTGGCAAGGTCCTGATCAGTTCCTCATTGGGCGAGCAGCTTTCAGTCCCTTATTTTGGGGCCGCTTATAGTCTAAGGGAGGCTTACAAGGATATCTTCATTGAGGGAACTCCTTATATTCGCTCACCTACTTATGATATTACGCAAAAGTCTAAGTAAGACTACCCGGGTTGACGAAAAGTTTGCGATTCTAATGGTTATATTTCGCAGTTTTACATTCGATGTGAGATTGGATGGTTCTACCAAGCAAGATTATCCAAAAGCTTACGCTTCCTTTGCGTTTGGATGCGACGAGCTTCGCTGGGATGTAAGGACAATCTCCATATCTAGCCATGACCTCCCCCTCCCATCCAGTGTTCTTGGCTAATAGCGAAACACTAGATTTATGAGTCCAGTTGGAAAGAGTCGAGCTGGACCTATCCTCCTGTCGTTGGGGAGGGCGGCTACCTCGGTGCTGCAACCTCTTTCCGTGATTCCGGAATCAAAACGTATTTTGATCCGACGGAGGACGATAAAGAAAACACAGTTCCGTTCCCGATTAGAGCCACCCCACGCAACATTATATCAGTTCCAGTCGCTGGCTATGATCAATATCGATTCTTCTGGCTAGGGAAGCTGGCAAATGGTTCATACATCAATCCTGGCAAATACGCGTGAGTTTCGACCCCTGACTCATTAAACAATTCACCTCTACATCTTTAGTTCGCATCAAGAGAAGTGATTAATATGTGAATTTCCTAGTATGAGGTTCGCCGCGCTGAGGCCTTTGGGCGACAGGACGTTGTCGGCTGACTGGGACATTTGGGACACACCGGAGATTACAGTTCTGCCATTGTCCGATTAGTCCTTTGGGGGAATACAGGGGAGGGAGACACATCCTGTTTTATGGTCAATCTTATCCTCCACATGTTGCAAGATGGGGACAACCTTTTGGATTGAGTCTTAGTCTTTCTAGGAAATCTCGAATTTGGTTTCAGCCACTAATTTTGTCTTTTCACACATTCTATATGCATGTTGATTGCAAGATAGCTGTGTAATAAGAGCTGTTGAGAAATCCCGAAACAATACGCCCTGGGTGACCTTGTGGTACACCTCAACAAAAGAACGTCGCCTATGTTCTCAGATCTTCAAACCTCAGATTAAGCATTACTATTCCTGCAATCGCACCAACTAGATAAGGTTTCTATTGCACACAAATAAATATCTTTCTCAACTCCCCCATTGCCATGGTTCCAAGATATTGATACTTCCCGAAGCTGATTTCCTTCTAGCTTCAAGCTCCAAATTATGGCAAAACCTCGCACTATACCATTAACGAGAAAAGCTGTCATCATCGGTGTTTTGAATTTCAGATAGATGTTACATTTCAGAGATTGGAGTGCTTTGCAAGGTTGAGCAGTATTAATAATCTGCCTCTGCCTTTGGGTCGCTTAGCTGGCTAATACATTGGCTGCGTCATACTCGATGCTCCGGCAAATGTGGGGTTATCGAAAAACCAAAGAGATTTTTGTCCTCCTCACACCACCCGAAAACTCACCCATCTCTCACACCAAGCGCTGGTGGAAGCTACGAGGGAAGTATGCCAAACTCAGCCAGCAGCCAGGCCTTGGCACTGCCCGAGATCCTGACACCAATCCTTACCCTTGTGGACGACGACGACGACGGCTGCGGCACACTCGCAGCCGCAGCTCGAGTGAACACAGTGTGGTTCGGCTGTGCCACTGGACTTTTGTGGAAGAAAATCAGCGGCGCTGCCCTTGGCTGTGTCCCTGCTCATCGGAGACAGGTGTACGCTTCTAAGATTGAAGCTATAGTCTTTACGGCCGAAGATAGAGACCTGCACGAGCCATTCAGAGAGCTAGAGTTTGTTCTCCTAAGGGAGCTCACACTGCACACATATCATCCATCGCCGGGGAATGGAGCATTGTACAATCTGCGCCAGTATTGTCGTCCAAGACTAGACAAATTCTATTTTTACGGCGGCGAGTTGGATCGAGAATTCATGTCATACCTACAGAATACTTGCCGAGACCTTACAAGACTATGGATCGACCTGCCCGGGCCCAAGGTTACGGTGGATTCATTTTTCGACTTTGTTTCCGGATTCAGGTCTCTCGAAGAAATTCATCTCAAGCGTGGAATTGATCATTTACTTTCGGATAAAATTCTCTATCACCTTGCGCGTCAACCAAACCTCCGAGAGCTGGACATCGGCCACTATCTCTCCCCAAGGCTTCTGTCTGACATTTCACAGAAAATACCCGGCGCCTTTCCAGCTCTTGGAAGTCTCGGCGCCACAGTAGTCTCGGACTGTGTGCCTAAAATCATCCACATACTAAAGCATGTTACATGTCTTGATCTCAGGATCCTTGACAATGAACTCGACGCCTTGACGACCCTCGGGTCGACTTTAAGGCTACAGAAAATCAAGATTCTATATGACTGCAGGAGCCAATTGACCAAAAGCCAGTTCCTTGCCCTCAAGGCTCTCCAGAATCTGGAGAATCTCGCTATTCGGTCGACTGTTGACGCAATCGAAGTCTCTGATCCCTCCGGCTCTCTTCTCTGCGATGAAGACTTTCAGGAGCTTGTCTCTGGGATGTCGAATTTGCGTTCTCTCGAACTCGAAACTATTGCAGACTTAGGAATTGACTCCCTTCTTGCACTCTCTGCTAGTTGCCCGATGATGGAAGAACTCGAACTTTTAACGGCATTTGATCTGCAGAAGCTATTGACAAAAGCAGGGGACGAGCCTATCTTCCCTCATCTTAGGAGATTAGAAATTAGTGGCATGCCCAATCGAATATTCAAGTCAATGGAGTGAGTTGAACAGTATCTTCAATGTGGTGTAGTCAACGATCAATACTGACTATAACGTGCTAGTGATTTAGTTATGACAGCAACAAATGTGTTTACACAAATGGAACACCACTTTCCCGAACTAGAGACTTTATATCTAGGAAAAGACGACCCATTAGCGGATATTATAACGGCAATGTTTTATGAGTCGGATGATGAGTCGGATGATTATGAGAATGATTATGAGGATGATTATGATGATGATGAGTCTGAAGCTAGGGAAGATGATATACTAGAGAACTGAAGGGATATTCAAAACAGTGATATGCAGCAAGTAACCATTTTTGGTGAAATGCAATCATAAAGCAAGCATCTTACAGGTCATGATATTGAGAATTGGTCATTTCGCTTATGAAGGGCCGTAAGGTTGCCTCCATGCGAGAGCTTTCCCCTATAAGCGAAAATTTCCCCGTTCCTTGTTTGTTTAGCATCAAATAGAACGAAAACATTGTCTGATCGTCTCCAAAATTCCAAGTCTTATCCACTCTGCTCATGCACTGCGACAATGTCTCTATGAGAATTAAACGAAGGCTAGCGTAGCCATTGAGAACCAATGATCCAACTCATCACAATTTCTTCCACTTTTGTATCTTCAATAAAGCTATAATTATATTTATACGAATACAAACGCTATCTAAGGCATAATATAATTATCTTTTTGTGATTTATCAGACTACCATTCAAAAGAGGTATACTGTGGCGTATTAGTTTGTCGAGATGGGGAGTTTGGTATGCCTCTACCCAATCGGCTCACTAAATTTCTCGTTTCTCCGAGGCTCTTAATATGTTCTTTTCCTGTAGTTACCGTTGTACTTTCTGTGTACTTGCCAGAGGATGCACGATTGCACAATTGACTTTCTCTCATACAGGAACCCTGTCAGATGACGGCATTCATAGACAGAGACACGCCGATCAGGCACCGTCATATCCATTCTCCTTCCTTCGCTCCCCGACAGTACTCCGAGTAGCGTCTCCGTATGACAATACGTGTGTTGGTGCTGGCGGATGAATATGTCATGGTCTCAACTCATACGTGTGTGTGGGCTGCTACAGTTCCCGCACTAGATCCGCCGTCGGCACAGCTGGAAGCTCAAGGCTATGTCTCTCTAGCTAGGCGACACCAGTCATTGCTACTTTGTGGCATCCCAGAACTTTGTTTGGGAGGCAGCCGGACTCAACGGGCCATTCTTCATCAATGACGAGATCCCGACGCAACCGAAAGTCTAGAAGTGGCCTCTGACCAAACACCAAACTCTTCCCCCCTCCATTCGCGGATGCTCGGCACCACTGTGCGATAGGCATCACAGGACATTTCTCCCACAATTCCCCTCATGCCCGCCATCCAGTTCATCGTAATCGGAGACGCCCGTCTGGGAGGGTGGGCGGAGACGCGAGGAAACGCGAGCTCAGTTGCAGCTGATGTTGATAACCTTTGCCCAATTTAGCTCACTCGACGCAAATCCCTCGCTCTATAGTATGATTATGATAAATATTTTCCCTCGGGCCTGCCTACTCTGTACTTCAATGTCTCTCTTGTCCATGTGTGTCTTGATACTGTGATCCTTGAGGCTGCCTAGAAGACATTACTGCCACTCCCATTTGCAGCTCCCACCTGCATTGCCCCCGGTCGTGTTCTCGCCATGGGCCACCTTTTCCACCGCAAGAAGAACGGCGGCTCCTCCTCGTCGGCTACGCAAGATGTCGAGGCCAGTGCGGCGGATGCGCCTGTGCCCGGTGACCAGATTGGCCACGAGGACACCGGAGAGAAGCTGAGCGAGTACAGTGCCCTGGATCGCTACATCTCTAATTACCGCGACGACCGCAGCCGCGCAGACGAAGGAGAAGACGAGAGCCAGAAGAAGCGGCCGAAATGGTGGCAGTTCTGGAAGTCGTCGAGCAAGCCGGTCCAGTACAACGAGCCCGCCCCGCCCAGGGTCCCAGAAGAATGGCTCGATGAAGATATCCAGACCGGCATCTCCTCGTCAATGGTCGCGGAGCGGAGAAAGGTGTCTGGGTGGAACGAGCTGACGGCCGAGAAGGAGAATATCTTTGTCAAGGTTTTGAGCTACTTTAGGGGCCCGATCTTATACGGTAAGCGGATCATTGTTCGTTTCGTCATTCACTTAAATACATTTTGAGCCATTGAGTACACTGAGGTAGCGTGAAGAATGCTAAAATTCAATAGTCATGGAGATTGCGGCGCTGCTGGCACTCGGCTTGAGCGACTGGATTGATTTCGGCGTCATCGTGGGAATCCTGCTGCTCAACGCCTTTGTCGGCTTCTACCAGGAGAAGCAGGCAGCGGATGTCGTCGCGAGTCTCAAAGGCGATATCGCGATGCGCTGTCAGGTCATAAGAGATGGCCGGATGCAAGAGATTCTCGCACGGGAACTAGTTCCAGGGGATGTCGTAAGTTCATTCATTCCCTTTCCTACTTCAACGCCTTTCGAGCTCGGCAGCGGCTGATAGCGTACGTGGTGAAAGTTCCTCGTCCAAGAAGGCGATACTGTAGCAGCTGATGCGCGCCTCATCTGCGACTATAACAAGCCCGAGGATCAAGAAATATACAGGCGTTTGCGGGCAGAGGACAAACTCGGCCATGAAGACGAGGAGTCGGAAAAAGATGACGACGGTGATCAGCGCCGCGGGTCAACCTACGATCAGCAGCGCCGCGGGTCAACCTACGATCAGCAGCGCCGCGGATCAGTCTACGACTACCGGATGCACTCCATCGTCGCTGTCGATCAGTCCGCCATCACTGGCGAGTCCCTGGCAGTCGACAAGTACCTGGGCGAGCTCGTCTACTACACCACGGGATGCAAGCGTGGTAGAGCCTACGCTGTCGTGGTCGCAACGGCCAAAGACTCGTTTGTTGGTCGCACTGCGGATCTTGTTCAGGGCGCAAAGGACCAAGGCCACTTCAAGGCTGTTATGGACAATATCGGAACATCTTTGCTGGTCTTAGTATTGTTTTGGATCCTCGCGGCATGGATCGGAGGTTTCTTCCGGAACATTGGTATCACGGAGCCAGGCTCACAGAATCTTCTCCATTATGCTTTGATCCTGCTCATCATCGGAGTGCCCGTCGGTCTGCCTGTCGTGACCACTACCACCCTTGCCGTTGGAGCTGCGTATCTCGCCAAGCAGCGGGCAATTGTGCAGAAACTCACTGCCATTGAATCATTGGCTGTAGGCCTCCCCTTCTCTTCACCATCTTCGTCTGAGTACACAAAACTGACCGTATGGACTGTAGGGCGTGGACATTCTTTGCTCCGACAAGACTGGCACATTGACTGCAAACAAACTCAGCATTCGCGAGCCGTATGTATCTCCAGGTCAGGATGTCAACTGGATGATGGCTGTGGCCGCGCTGGCATCATCGCACAATCTCAAATCCCTCGATCCCATAGACAAGGTCACAATTCTCACTCTCAAACGGTACCCCCAAGCCCGGGAGATCATGCAGCAGGGCTGGGTCACTCAGAAATTCACCCCCTTTGACCCTGTCTCCAAGAGGATCACAACTGAGTGCCGACTGGGAAACGACACTTTTGTCTGCGCCAAAGGAGCCCCTAGAGCCATCCTCAAATTGTCCAATTGCACCGAGCAGCAAGCAACCGAGTACAACATGGAAGCAAAGGATTTTGCGCGACGTGGCTTCCGATCTCTGGGAGTCGCATACAAGAAGAATGACGGGGACTGGATTCTTCTAGGTCTGCTCTCCATGTTTGACCCGCCGCGAGAGGACACGGCGCAGACGATTCTTGAAGCAGCCCAGCTTGGCGTCCCGGTGAAGATGCTCACTGGCGATGCCATTGCCATTGCAAAGGAGACCTGTAAGATGCTCTCCCTTGGCACCAAGGTGTACAACTCTGAGAGACTCATCCACGGTGGTCTGGCTGGGAGTGTTCAGCATGACTTTGTCGAACGCGCAGATGGCTTCGCCGAGGTGTACCCTGAGCACAAGTACAAGGTCGTCGAGATGCTGCAGCAACGAGGTCACCTGACAGCCATGACGGGTGACGGCGTAAATGACGCCCCGTCCCTAAAAAAGGCCGACTGTGGTATTGCTGTCGAAGGCTCCTCGGAAGCCGCGCAAGCAGCTGCCGACATTGTCTTCCTTGCACCAGGTTTGAGCACCATTGTCCTAGCCATCAAGACAGCACGGCAGATTTTCCAGCGGATGAAGGCCTATGTTCAGTATCGTATTGCTCTCTGTCTCCATCTTGAGATCTATCTCACTTTGTCGATGATCATTATCAATGAGACCGTGCGGGCAGACTTGATCGTTTTCCTCGCGCTGTTTGCCGATCTGGCCACCGTTGCCGTCGCCTACGATAACGCCCACTGGGAACCTCGCCCCGTGGAGTGGCAGCTGCCCAAGATCTGGATCATGAGCATCATCCTTGGCATCCTCCTCGCTGCGGGCACTTGGATCATCCGTGGAACCTTGTTCCTCACCAACGGCGGAATCGTTCAAAACTTTGGCTCCGTCCAGGAGATTCTCTTCCTCCAGATTGCCCTGACAGAGAACTGGCTGATATTCGTCACCAGGGGCGCCAAGACGTGGCCCTCCTGGCAGCTCGTCGGCGCCATCTTCGGCGTCGACGTCATCGCCACCCTATTCTGCTTATTCGGCTGGCTGTCCGGACGTCCCCAGACGACCTCTCCTCCCACTAGCTGGGTGCAGAGGCAAGACGGCTGGACCGACATTGTGACTGTTGTAAAGGTGTGGCTCTACTCTTTCGGAGTGACGGTTTTCATCGCCATCATCTACTTTATTCTAAACAAGCTTTCCTGGTTGGATAACCTGGGACGAAAGAACCGCAGTAAGAAGGATACCATGGTTGAAAATGTCCTCGGTCATTTGCAAAAGCTCGCCATTGAACATGAGAAGGATATTAAGACGGGCAAGAACAGATTTGTTCTCATGGAAAAGGCTACTGATAGTGATGAGGACATCTGACGAGGTTTGTTCCCGATCACTGTTCTCCAGTTTTATCTTGCCAAGCGCTCGCAGGGCGTGATTTTTGTATGAATCTTTAACCAAACGGTTTCTTGAACTCGCAATATTGACCTTTACCTCGCGTATTTTAGTAGTTATTCAACATTGATTATTAAATAGACGGGCTATCACCACCCCTCTGATACTTTCTGTGAACTCAAATCAAGTAGGTGGATTGTTGAGATGACAGATGCTGAATCAATCCTCAAGTCTCCGAGAATGCTATCCTTCAGCTATCAGTTTTCCAATTGAGGGAAAAATAATATCAGAAGCTAAGCAACAGTCTGTCTTCTATAAAGACATCAGCCAGCTTATACGATCTAGGGTTTACATTATGATTCAGTCCTGAGGAGCGTTCTGATATCGAGATGAAACCCTAGAGACGTATTAATCCTCGCCAAATTCAAGACGGAGAAGTCTTTCTTGTCGACATTAACTCTGCATACTACTAAAAAGACTGAAATTCGTTACTCGACGCCCCTATTTCTTCAAGTTCCTCCCACCCAGATATCTGTGATGTTTACTTTAGTAACCCGCATTGAAGTTATGCATTGTGTCTGCTCAGAAGTACCAGCTTTATGTCATTCCATTTGTCACCATGTACAATTCTCTGTCATCTCGCCTTATCACTATTATCCACATGTATGCCACCAAGGAAACATACTTACGCAAGTGACATGGGCGGGTTTCGGGGATATTGGACCACAAGCAACTGACTGCTTCTGAGCAAGGTAGCATTGTTACTGGAGCATGTATGCCCTTATCTACCTACGTTGTGGTGCCCAGGGCTTAGGCCACAACTAAAAGGTTTCCTCGGCCCCTCAATGTCAGTTTCTCGCGCACTCCTGTAATCGTGCTCCTCCCCAGCTTCTCCGCAAATCCACTCAAGCGGGATTCTCCGGCACAAAGCGCTGGTTGCGAGGCCCCTTCGAAGTCGCAACTACAAATACGACGCAATAAATCAACAAGCAAAATCGAACTGAAACTTGAAATAGCAAATTTTAAGTTAACTAAATACGAAAAAGTACGAAAAGAGCACATTGCTGTTCTGTTCCGAATCCCATTAAAGGAAATATTCACCGCTTGTTATCCAACCCCTGCCCTGAAATTACCAACCCCTGCATTACTGGAGAACCCTCATCGCCATTATCAAGACATCCGGGTTTTAATATGGAGTCCAGACGAGTTGAGGTGGATCGTCGCATTCAAGTTAAGCCTGTTAAGCTTATCTTGAGTAGAATCAGAGAGTGTTCGGACGCCAAGGACCGAAGATCGTGGTCAACACCGGCATTGACGATTAGCAATGGAAAACACCAGGCTGCTCGTGATGTGGACCTAAACCCCACCAGATAACAGCAGTGACATCTATAAAATTAGCAGTTCATCTATACCGATCAGAATGCATAAATACACTAGCTCCCCTCCATAAAAGACTCATTGGGTTAAAGACTCATAACTCTGCAGCTTTCCGACATGCGGTATCTGTTTGGTGTTGTCTCCCTTGTGGCAGGGACGAACTTACTTTCAGAGGCAAAGGCCTCGAAAGCATCAGTGACATTCATCTCCCCCGTGCAAATCAGCCCTAGGAGTGCCCACAATGTCATCGTTGAGTATTCTGGCGATGTCGATGGCGAGCTGACGATTACTTACGGCTCGTGTGGTAATGTAGCCATCTCCGATGCAAAGCAACGGCTTGGTACAACTCGTGTTGGCAACCATCCTTTATCCGCGCGTCATATAGACCATGAGGACAGGCGGCCAACTAAGTTTGTTTGGTTGACACCTTCCGAGACGTCGGATGGATGTCTACACGCGTTCCTGGATGATGAGCTAGTCGGCCAATCGGAAGAGCTCCGGACTTACGATCATGTGGCTCGCCGCAGCGAGAAGAAAACATTTGCCGATGTAGCTGGGGATGATAGCATGTGGTTCGATGGTGTGGCATACTTGAAGCAGAAACAGCCTGACGAGGCCTTTGTCGCTGCGGCCAAGAATAAATCTTTCGGTATTCTTGGTGGTGGAATATCAGGGCTCGCATCCTCTGTGAGCTCCTCTTTTTCTTTTTCCTGTCATGGTCGAAACTAACTCTTGCCTGCCCAGTTGATGCTAGACTCGGTTGGCATTCATAATTGGAAGATTCTTGAATCCTCTGAACGTGTCGGTGGTCGTATCAAGACTGTTTACCTCAACGGTAGCTCCCCCGAGGACGGCCAGTACCATGAACTCGGTCCGATGCGATTCCCAGTCGAGATCACTGATTCTGAGACAAACGAGACTTTTCCTATCATGGACCAGCGTATGGTTTTCCAACTAGCTGATGTTATGAATGAGCTGAACGCTGGAAATGAGACGTTGCAAGTCAAATTCTGGGAATGGATCCAGAGCTCTCCGAATACACCTGCCGATACTCCCTTCCGTCGCCCTGATGGAACAATTCCTGGCAAGAAGGAGGTAGCGAGTGACCCAGCGTACTACAATCCGACAGTATACCATAATGCCACGGCTGCTGAAGAGGCTATTCAAGCACTTGACAACTTCAAGGGTCTAACTCCCGAGCGCATTCGAATGTACGCCACAAATATATTCGCAGCTTATAAGCAGGCGAAAGAAGATGGCATGTTCGACTACTCTGAGGTCTCTTATCTTCGGCATGTCATGAAAACTGACCTCAACACCACTGATGAGGTCACGCCATCTCAAAACTATTGGCCCATGTGGGAGTATGAGACGGTATATTTCCTCGCAAGCAAATGGGTCACAATCCAAGGCGGCCTTAGCCGGCTGCCCGCTGCATTTGAGCCACATATCAAAGACAGGATACAGTACGGTGCCAAAGTCAACGGCTTACACTATAACAAGGACAACGATACCCTTTCCGTGACATGGAGGCCGACAGGATCTGAGCCTTTCTCGACTCCCAACAAGGTCACCAACTTTGACTATGTTCTCAATAGTGTCCCACTCAACCTAATGAAGTTCTGGAACATGCCGCCTTACTCAAGTCTTCTGAAGCGAAGCATTGATAGGACTATCTATGCCAACGCCTGCAAGGTTGCAGTACAGTTCAAGACTCGGTTCTGGGAGCATCTAGAGAGGCCTGTTCTGGGGGGCTGCACTCGCCTCTATAGCCCACAGCTAGGCCAAGTCTGTTACCCATCATGGCATCTTAACGCGACAGGTCCTGGCACCATGCTGGCATCTTACCTGTCCGACTACGAAGCTACCGTTGCCTGCGCCATGTCCGAAGAGGAGCACATGGCCTACATCAAGAGAGCCTTTAGCGAGATCCACGGCAGCGAAATCGTCGAGGAAAACTGGACAGGGAACTATGCCCGCCATTGCTGGGAACAGGACGAGCACCACGCCGGCGCCTTCACGATGCAGATTTTCTCTCAGCAGCACCTGTATTTACCTGCCTTCTACCGAACCGAGTTCAAGACGGTTTTTATCGGGGAGGCTGCAACATTCACTCATACCTGGCTCTTTAGCGCTTTGGAGAGTGCTACCAGAGGCACAGTCCAGTTATTGTTGGACATGGGGCTTGTTGATGAAGCCAAACAGATTACGAATACATGGATGGCGCGGTGGATAGATCTGTAAAAGGCGAGCGAATCCCTTCTCTAGAGAATCTGGGGATGACTATGGGTAATAACCTGCCGTGGCTCATAAGAGAGATCATGAAGTCGTCCAATATCTATTCTCCAATACTCTAGTTATTGTCCCTGATTGCCTTCAGGTACCCCTAAGAAGCTATGTTTCTTCGCATCTCTCCCCATGAAGATGACAAGTACTTAAGAATGGCAAGCAGTGTCTTAATGATCTCCGATACTTTAATTCCAGATTTATCACATTCACACATATATGTTGAGGTCCATTTCTTTCTCCAGAACGGCAAAACTTAACTAGGCCCGGCGGTATATGGCGAATGAGAACATTTCATCTCCATTAACTCAATAAGGCGTTCTTTGGCGTTCTCAATCGATCAGAAATATGTTTTTGAGATGAGTCCACTTGGTAAAATCTCTCAAATAGCCCGGGGTTATGGCATGCTGCGCTATGAGCATGTTTTCGGTATGATCGTCGCATCGCACCATTTGAACGCAAAATCTCGCGATAACGTTACAAGCCGGTCTCGCAGTCAACTTTCATGTGTGTAGATGCGATTCCCATGTTCACACAATAACAATATTTCCACATCGTCCTCTTCCAAACTAAACTTTTCCCCTCTAAAATGCCTGCGCGAGGTAAACAATTGGGCAAATTCATCTACTGCAGTTCTTGGACCACTCCCTCGGTACGGTCAAAAAAAAAACATAAATAGTTCCCAAGCTTGAATGTGTTCTTAGAGGGTGAACAGCATCTAGAAACATTCGCAATCCGATCTAGGACGGCCGCTCTGATAAGCATAATGAAACCTGAAGGGTCTTTCTACCCACCCAACGCAATATGATGGAGCGAAGATGTGACAAAACTGGGTCTCTGATGTGCCGAAATCCCGAAAACCAAGAAGATAGAATAAGTGATGATGAAAGTAATAAGACGTTGGTTACATGCTATGAGGCTTTCTACCACGCCATGCTTATAACTCAGCGCATCGGACTCGTCGTCTTTCAACATCATGCCAAGTGTATCTAGCTAATTGCGCACTCACAATACAAGAAATCCTTCGTCATGTCGGTTCAGCTAGGTGTGCAAGGGGTGACCCTGATATCTCAGGGCACCGGGTATGGTATGCTCATTGGCCTTGGGGTGGGCTTTTGTGGTGTCATTCTGGCTGCAGTGAAGATCCAAAAAGCGTATCTTTCAGAGGATTCAGGGACATCTGAGATGTTCATGGTTGCCAATCGTTCGGTGGGGAGGGGTCTGACAGCATCTGCGGTCTTCTCATCATGGATGTGGATCAATGAAACTGTCTTTTCTGCAGCCTTTTGCTACAAGTTTGGGCTTGCTGTGCCGTTTGTAAGTCGCTGGCATCAACTCTGGAATTTGTTATTCTTAGACGGCATCTGACACTTATTAGTGGTGGTCGACTGGGCTTTGTTTCCAAATTGCACTGATGGCCGCTCTCGGTGTCCTCGCTAAGATTCGAGTTCCTTTTGCCCACACGTCTTTAGAGATTATCCGGATGCGATACGGATGGATAGGCCATGTTGTTTTCATTATTCTCAACATCACGAACAATGTCTTTGGCTGTGCTTCCATGATTCTTACGGGCTCTCAGCTTATCTATGGCATCTCGGGAATGCACTTTGTGGCCGCCACGATTCTGATCCCACTAGGAGGTGCGCATTTCCAACGCCAAGGACTTTATCTCAAATGCATACTAACCACTCTCTGATTAGTTGTTCTATATACCGCAGTCGGCGGTCTAAAGGCCACTTTCCTCACAGACTATCTTCATACTCTGGTTGCATTGATTCTAATCATTTACTTCACCTTGAGCACGCTCACACATGAGGCTGTCGGCGGCCTTGGAGGTTTATACGACAAGATTATAGCCACTGCATCAGAGAATCAAATCTCGGGTAACTATAATGGATCACTCCTGACTATGAAGTCACGGGACGCCATTATTTGGGGCCTCATCCTCAAATTCGGTAACCTGGCCCTCGTTGTCATGGTACGTTATTATCGCGCGATCAGTTACCCCATCACAGGCTAACAAAAACACTCTTCAAGGATACCGCATTCTGGCAGAAGTCGTTTGCTACCGAAGTAAAGGCCACTGTTCCTGGGTATAATCTGGCCGCTGCAGCTATCTTTGGTATTCCTTGGGGACTAGGCACAGTCATTGGCCTCACTGCCCGAGCTCTACATAACACCCCAATCTGGCCGGCATATCCAGAAGAATTCACTATGGACAAGGTGAATGCGGGTCTAGTCATGCCATACGTTATCCAAGCCTTGATAGGAGAACGAGGTATTGACGCGTTCTTGGTATTACTTTTCATGGCCCTGACAAGCACCGTCTCGTCGTCTATGATTGCTGTCAGCAGTATCCTTTCCTTCGACGTGTACAAGACATACATCAACCCGAAGGCTTCAGATAAAAAGCTCGTCCACGTGAGCCATCTCACTGTGGTGTTTCATGCAATTTTCATCACCGCGGTATCTATTGGGCTGAACTACGGAGGTGCTGACATGACCTGGATCGGCTATTTCAGACCCATTCTATCATGCCCGGGCATTATTCCACTGGCATTGACCCTCTGCTGGTCCCGGCAGACTCGTCTTGCGGCAATTCTGGCACCAGTGCTGGGATTCTTCACTGGTCTCGCCATTTGGCTAGCTACGGCCAAGACACTCTACGGTGCGATTACTATGAAGACAACTGAGCAAAGCCTGCCAGCCCTGTTTGGAGCCATAGGATCTTTCTTCTCGCCGGCGATATATTCTGTAGTTATTTCCCTTTACAAGCCATATTCCTTTGATTGGAGGATATTTCTCGTGGCCGAAACTGTCGAACAGGCTCGACTTAAAAAAGCAGACGAAAAGGAAGCTAAAAATGCTGTAAATGATAGCTCCTCCACTGACGCTCAGAACACGGACGGGGTTCTCAAGTCATCCCCAAAGCGAGAAAACACAGACCCAACCTCAAAGGAAGCCACTTCTAAAGTCCAAAACATCACTTCAGATTCTAGCTCGACAACGTCAGAAAAGGTCAATCTTGATGATGTAACCCATCCCTTCGACGACGATACCTTACGAGAGTTACGCAGATGGTACCGCATTGCATGGTGGATATTCGTTGGGATCGTTCTGGTCACATTCGTACTGTGGCCAATGCCTTTATATCGCGACTATATTTTCACCAAGACCTTTTTCCAGAGCTGGACAGTTGTTGCCATCATCTGGCAGTTTTTCGCATTTTTCGCGGTGGTGGTGTATCCGCTCTACGATGGCAGACATGAGATCTCAAGGGGCACTCGGGGCGTTTACCATGCAGGCAAGCGATTGCTCAGCAGAAAGTCTTGAGTGTCATACATTAATGTGATCACCCTCCAATCTAAGCAAAACGGCATAAACTAGTTTATCACTTTCACACTTAGCTTAAAGATCCATCTACGGAGTTATCTTATTGCCTGATTCTAAACCTTATCACGTAAAAGAGTGCCGTCAGAGGCTGAATTATAAGTTCATTTCTATCAATGGGTGACATTTGTCTGTGAGTAGATTAAATACGGGACTTTTATGTGATTTAGCTACCTTATATTACATTCTATAGTGCTCTGCTGCTCTAATAATCTAGTTGTATCTGCTAATTGTTCTACCTGTCTCCTTCTGCTTTGGCTACTAGGATCTAATGATGGAGTAAAAGGCTAGCTATATCGATGTATGTTTATTATTGAGTTGAGTTTGGTTGATTAAGGTTGTGGCGAGACTTGATACTGTTGATGAAAAGCTCTGGCGGCAAGCTTGTCAACGTGCTGGAACCAATCAGACTTGATCCCGCACATCTCGTCATTTTTTCACTCCTATCTATCGCGTTGCTACAATCCTTTAATAGATCTACTATTCTCAAAATGCAGGGCGGGTTAAAAGGCAGGGTGATGGGTTAATGCTCCATTGCAACTGTAGGGTAGGTGTTTTCTAGAGGACAAGGAATTTCTGTAGACGCCCGCCATCACCATCAATTGTCCACCCACAGAACTCGCGACACGACAGCACAACATGCATATCATGGCGGCTTACGGCGCCCGCATTCAGGCTTGGTCCCGAGCCGATAGGTCCACATGATTGGTGTGAAAGAGGTCTCAATCTTGAAGCAGCTGATCGGCGCTACTTCTTGTGCAAACAGAAATGCGACGCGCCAGTTCCCCATTGCTGGAGCTGGAGGTGTCCCCCACAATGTCCCAAGATCCCACCCACCATCAAGCGCGCCTGGGCTTTGATTGGGAAGTGGGACGTGTAAGAAAACGGTGGTGATCTACTTCTCGATCATGCCTTCGAACTTATCGCCGGTCAAGAGGGCTTGATGAGGCGCACCGGCCAATGTGGTATATGCCAAGCTCTGCTGGCCAGCGTCGATCGACGTATCGAGTTGGGCTTCAACATCGCCTTTCTTATTGATTCTGAGATAGCGACTTTCATGTCCTAATCATGTACAACTATTTGGCGTTGCCAGCTCTGCATGGTCCCACACGACGGCGAGAGCTGTGCGTCATGTTATGCGTCCTCATTGCTCTTGGGTAGGATTTATCATGCTGGCTCGCAGCTAGCTGCCTTTCCTCCGAGGCGTGGACTGAAGGACCATTGGCACCATGCCAGCAACCGGACACCATTGATTGATTCATTTCTTCGCAAGACCTATCTCTTTTGGCTGCAATAACACGGGCGTTATGTTCGGGCCAAGACTATTGGGCGACAATGAGCGCTACGCTACGTAACTGCCTTTGGATGCATACAACCCGTCTACTTGCTGTCACTTGACAGCAGTCAAAGCACTGTCCGGATTGCTAAGCAGCGCCGTGATATGGAAATCGAACCCCGGCCACCTTTTGAAGTTTCTCGCCACCCAGAAGACACTCGCGGTGGGCATGAAGCGATGCTCTAGTTCGCCTGGAATGGTTCATCGTGTGCCGCTGATGGAGGTGACACTCGCAGGAACATACAGAGGGCTAGCCACACACGTGGGAAAAGAACGACAATGCCGTCATCGCGACTAGAAGCGCTGGATAAATTGAGTACAAAATGGATAAAGAAATAAGGGTTTCCTGCGTGTTGCGCGTTGAATGAGCTGGACAGGTAACACGCCGCATTTTCAAAAGCCAATCCCGCCATACAGGATTTGCAGCCAGGTGGCCCAGAATCCACAGCCCATTCATTTCAAATTATTTTCTTTCATTTCTTTTCCTCGTTCTCACGGCGCCTTATTAGGCACTACTCATCTGCCCCGTGGAAAAAGCAAAGTGTGAGGCGCGGATCATGTCCAGTTTTGAAGCAACCATCCGTGGAGCCATTTGACAGGGGTGTAGGGGAATGGCTCGGCCTTCCGCGCAGCCTGCCTTCTAAAATCCGTTCATGATCTCAAGTCTGTGACATGAACCATGTTTTGGGAGGTGGTGAGTTATCACGGCATGGCGTGAGAGCGCTTGCATGGCTCTCTAAACACCGTATCGAGCTGCCCAAAACACGTCCCCATGATTGTGTCGGACTTCCAAGGGAATGCCCAAGGCGGCATGTCCCACAGCTCAAGCACGGCTGATGAGCTGTTGGCCAATATCTCGAGGGATGGATGTATAATAATGATTACCTGCAGCAGGTTTGCCGTAGCGCTCGCGAGATATTCCGGCTCATTGGGCAACGTGTTATGCAGCAGAAGCAATGCAAGACAATCATGCCTCCAGCCAGTTGACGACATTCGCATAAACTTCTCCACCACCCGGGTCCTTTGCATGATTCCACTGCAGCGTCCAGCGTCTCCTTCGCGGCGGTAACCTGTGGAGTACACGTCGACCCTGGGAAATGGAATTTGTTGTACAATTGACTCTTCCGGGCACCTCCGGCGCGTGCGTGACATCTGGTGCCCAGTCAGAATCCGAGGTGTCTGCTTGGGTAAATGCAGATGATGGACTGGCAATGCCCCGGATTTCTCTAGAGCATCCACGTTGGCTGCGCTTCCTTTTTTTATATACCCGCAGGGAGCCGTCTCGTGAGAGGGCCCGGCCTTGCGTATTCAAGCTTTAATTGTCAAGCAAGGTCTCGCGGACGACTACTGACGGGGTGGTAGCAGCCTTTTTCTCCATGGAAGCCTTTTCATTTTAATCCTTTTTCTTGTTTTTCACTTTCGCTTTGAGTAGGTCATTTATCTCATTATTTTCAGCAAGCAAGCGTTCCATAGCGGCGGTTGAGACAAGCCCTTCGACATTTATCACCATGGCTTCCAAACAATCCCCAACCTTCCGGTTCCAAGCATGGCACATTAGCAAAGATTTCGACGTGGAGAGCTTGGAGGAGAATAAGCAAATGGCATCTTTTGTTGAGAATCATGTTTCCCGTCAATTGAAGGGCCTCATCAGTATTGGGCCTGTGGTTCCGACCCGAGCCTATCCTACTCTGGCTGTAGCTCGTTCGGTAAGTCTTGGTTCATATTACCCCGTCAATACATGGACCTCTAAAGCAATCAGTAGCTAATAACTGACACGTCAAGATCCGGATCAGGCTCAAGCGCCCGACCATGGACTGGGAGGGGAACATGAGGCAGCTATCCAAGGTCGAGCTGCCAGCAATCATCAAGCGATACTTCAAAGTGAAGCTCAACAAGACTCTCGACTTCTACAACGCCTTTGCAGAGGAGCTTGCCCCCGACCAGATACCTGAGTATGGAAAAGTATTGGTGTCTGCCGACTTGCAGCGGAAAGTTCGCGATGTGTTGTCCAGGGTTAGAGAAGAGGCATGGGGGGATCTTGCCGTGGGAATGTAGGTTTTCACTTTCTTCTCCGTTATTCCACATTAGTGATTACTCCCTTAATACTTGTAGGACGTGTACTAACATCTGGCAATAGACAAGACGGAAAGTTCAACGCGGCTAGGTTCATTTCAGAAAGAAGTAGAGGTATGGATTGCATCACTTTACAGTTGCCAATGTCTCCTAACATAATTGCAGCGCCACGAAAGAGACTAAGAGGGGACTATTATAGCCCTAGATCATTGACACCATCGACAGCGAGCATTCGTTCAGAGTCACCCGCCGACAGTATTTTTGGTATCAAGCCAAACGCCAAGTTGAGAATAGCCACCAAGAACCTCGCCGAGCTCCATCGCCGCCGATCCTCCTCTGTAAGCTCATCATCTTCTGTTTGCTCCTTGTCTCCTGTCGAACTGGAGAAATCCAAGTCTACTGTGTCGGCAATGTGTGGCACATCTACATTCGACGATGAGAGCGATGCAGGCGTCTCCATGTCGTGCGACACACCCACCACACGCAATGATGGCAAGTCTACATTCTCCTTCGTGTATGATACGCCCTCCAACCAGAGCCAGGGACAACCCAGCTCCAAGGTTTCTGTTGTATGTGGTACCACTAGGACAAAGAACCGAGTTCGGCGGACAAGCTCTGTTTCTTTCGTTTCCTCGCCCTTGTCGACCGAGAAGAACATCGAAACAGAAGAGACGGTTTCCTTGACGTTCGATAGCTCGACGAACCAGACACGGGTTCACCGCAGCAGTTCGAGCATCTCCTTTGTGCCCTCACCAGTGACCGTCGAGGAAGAGATCGAGCCAGAGGATGCCCTGCAGTTGGTACTGCACGCTCCCATGACTAGAAGACTCACCAAGAAGACATCCACGGTCTCCATCGTCCACGAATCAATCGCATCTCAGGAGGCCCAAGCCCAGCCCACCATCACCTTCGAAGAAGAAGAAGAGACCCTCCTCGATCCTGATCAGGAGCTACACTCCCCACCCGAGTTTATTGATGAGTCTCCCCTGGATAAGTCTGAGGATGTCTCTCCAATCTTGAGGTTTGTGGATGAGCTACTCTCGGAGAGCGAGCCAGATTTTGAACCTCAAACCCCTGCCACTCCAGAGCCTGTCAAAGAGATTAAGAAGATAGATGGCGGGGAGAGTAGCCCTTTCACTTCAATAGTTCCTGGGAAAGGATTTGACGCTGAGAAGGAGCGTACCGTGGAACAAATTGTGGAAGTAGATACGCCTACCGCTATTTCTCCCGAGACCCCCGTTGAGAAGGAGTTAGAGTCCAGCCATCGTCTGAAGGGGGATTTGGATATGGCAAATACCGATAAATCTGTCCCTGAGCCCACTTGGGACGACGAAGAGGGCGAGATCACTTTGGTGGAGGACCCAGAACTCATGGCTTCTACTCCTGTCAAGGCTGTTCCGCCGGAAAAGGTCAAGCCAAGGCGCTCCGTCACATTCGACCTAGAGCCCAACGTGATCGGAGACTCTGCCATAATTGATGAGGCCGATGTGGCCGAGGAACCTGAGATGATCGGAGAGCCTAAACTCAAGACAGCTCCTTCCTTTGCTTGCGAGCCTGTCTTGGAACCGAGTGAGGAAGAGCCAGAGTCCTTGGTATATGAAATCCCTCAAAATCTCGTCGAGGAAGAAATAATTGAGACCATCCTGCCTCCAGAGGTAGAAGAGGAGGCACCTGATCTGCCAGAGGTGTTCGCCACCGGTTCTTGCCTTGCATACATCATGCTTCCGCAAACGAATCTCGCCATGATTTTCTTCCAGCGTCCTGACGATATGATTCAGTTCGGTCTGCTGTCAAAGTCAGACATTGGCCGTCACGACGTGAGCCTCTGCATTGGCTCGCCCATCACTAGGGCTGCTCCTAACTCCCCCCTTCAAGCCTTGAAAAAGGATGGCACCATCGCGCTCTACTTCCAGAGGCCCATCGACTTCCCCCACCAGAGTCCGATCATTGCGGAGTGCAAGATGGTCCAGAATGGCGACATGATCACCTGGGAGGTCAGGAACATTGACCTCAAGATGTCGGCTACACTGCAGCCCAGGTCGGATATTGGATACAAGAGGGTTCTCTTCCTCGAGTCCGAGTCCCGCCCGGGAGAGGTCGTCGCCGCCTCGTGCTCTCAGGACAACAAATGGCGAGTTGCACACACGCCCATCTCCATGCCGATCTCCACGGGAAGCTTCTCGTTCACTACAGCTGGGATCGCAGGCGTGGGCGGAAACGTGAGTGACTTCTTCCGCATCCGGTCTTTGAACGAGAAGGAGGTAGTCCAGTGCGAGATTGAGGGTCTCCGAAGCTGGCCTGGTTTGGGAGACCAGGAGATCAGTGAGGCTAAGATCCAGGTTGCCCGGAAGCCGCTCAATTGGCATGGCAAGACGCCATGCGCATTCCCTCTCTCTTGCGCATTGATTGAGGGCAACAAGGCTGCTCTGATCGGCGTCCTCTGCAGGACAGACGATAATGGACTTCAGCTGTACCGCGGGCATCCATGGTGGGACGAGTTCAAGAAGCCCGAGCTGATCTGCAAGGTCAAGAACGGATCCAACTTTCTGTATATCAAGGATTGGGGTGACATTCTGTATCTCACACCCGATGGTGACATGAGTCGCGCACATGTGACTCTGCACATGAACAACAGTGTCACGGTCAACATCCATTCTGCTCTCAAGATTAGCGATGCCATGCCTATGACACTGAGCCAAGACTTCTTCGCGTAACTAGTTTTGTTCTTTTCTGATTTTTAGTTGTTTTCTTACACTCGTTTCGAGTGACAGACAATATTGTGTTTCGTCGCTGGATGGCAGACTTGTTAGTCTAAGGATGGTTTTTTTACTTCTTACCCTTCGCTAGGATACCTACCTATCTGTTTTGAATTGTGGTTTAGTTATTGTTCTTTTTGAATTTCTTCAAAAGCCAGCCTGTTTGTATTTAATATGGGATTTATTGAGATTGCCGTTGAATCTTATTGGATCTTGTTGCTTGGACTTGCTGGGAAACGAGCGCAGCGTCGTTATTTCGTCGTGTATTTCTTGCATGAGATTGTTTTTGCTTTATGTTGTTTAGAAACAGAATGACTCACAACACTAAAGACAAATATACCTTATCAAACTCCCAACATGAGTTCCCTGAACCTGTCAATATAAGTAATTCGTTTTGGAGATGTCAAGTAATATCAACCGAGGTGCTCGCCTTGACGTTGAAGCATTGGAAGTGGATCACTAACATGACATGCATGCATGATGTCGTGATCTGCACCGGCAGCCATCAGTGCATCACCATCACGCCGTGGAGGCTATTATGGCGCAATCGCAGATGTCAAACGTTAACATAAACAGCCAATTTTTACGGTGGAAGCTTTATCCCATCTTCCGCTCCCCCGAACCTGATTAGTATAACTGGGGTTCTTGAGTTCTTGAGCACATCCTAGACATATCAAAAGACACAACACTCTCACTGGCTTCCTGTTTCAGTCTGCCTACAGCACCAAAATGGCTGACCCAAACCAGACACCGAACAGTGCAGCTGCCAAGAAAAAGCTGATCATCAATGCGTTTGTCGAGTCGTGCAGTGGTCATCAATCTCCAGGACTTTGGAGGCACCCCCGGGACCAATCCACCAACTTCAATAACATTTCTCACTGGGTCGAGCTTGCGAAGAAGCTGGAGAAAGGGAAGTTCCATGGTATCTTCATCGCCGATGTTCTAGTATGTCCCGTTTACAACTGTTGTAGCCAAGTTCATCATTTCAGTCATCAACATCCAATAGCCTACTAACACTTTTCATTAGGGTGCTTATGACGTTTATAAGGGACCTCGCAATCCCGATCCGGCTGTGATTTCAGGAGCCCAATGGCCGGTCAATGAGCCGTTAGTGACCGTGCCCGCCATGGCGGCCGCGACCAAGAGTATTGGGTTTGGTGTCACGGTTGCCACAACGTACGAGCAGCCATATCACCTCGCTCGCCGACTCAGTACAGTGGACCACCTCAGCGGCGGCAGGCTGGGCTGGAACATTGTCACTGGGTATCTCGATTCGGCGGCAAGGAACCTTGGTCATACCGAACAACCGGCCCACGATGAGCGTTACAACATCGCCGAGGAATATGTTGACGTTACATATAAGCTCTGGTAAGCCCTTCTCCAGTGATTCTCGTCCATTAGTCTCGTTCCTTACGGTTTCCCATTCAAGGCAATCTTCTTGGCGTGATGACGCTGTCAAACACGACCGAGAAAAGGGCATCTACACTGACCCAGCTCTGGTCCGTACCATTGACCACGTCGGGAAATACTACACCGTCCCAGGACCGCATATTTGCCAGCCATCGCCACAACGAACTCCGGTCATCCTACAAGCCGGCACTTCCAAGTCCGGCAAGAGATTTTCCGCAAAGCACGCCGAGGCTGTCTTCGTTGCCGGTCACAGCCCTGCCGTCGTGGCCAAGAACATCGCAGAGATCCGCGAGACTGCCGACAAGGAGTTCCATCGCGATCCAAAGTCCATAAAGTTTCTGGCGATGCTTTGCCCTATCATTGGCAAGACTCAAGAAGAGGCCGAGGCCAAGTACGCGGAGTATGTCAGCTACGGTTCGGAGGATGGCGCTCTTGCTCTCTTTGGCGGCTGGACTGGTATCGATCTAAGCAAATATGGCGATGACGAGGAGCTTCGCCACGTTGAGTCCAATGCCATTCGATCAGCCGTTGAGTCGTGGTCCAAGTCCCTCCCCGGTGTTCCCAAGTGGACTAAACACACTGTTGCCAATCATATCAAAGTGGGTGGTTTGGGTGCCACAGTGGTTGGGACACCTGAGAGGGTGGCTGACGAGTTTGAGAGGTGGGTGTCTGAGGCTGATGTCGATGGGTTTAATCTCGCTTACGCGTTATTCCCCGATACTTTCGACGACGTGATTGAATATCTCCTGCCAGAACTGAATAGGCGAGGTCTCTTCTGGGATGATTACGCAGTAGAGGGTGGGACATATAGAGAGAACTTGTATGGACAAAAAGGGGTCTCAAAGCCACCGGCTGATCATCCCGCCGCTCAGTATCATTGGAAGGCTGAGTGAATGGTATTCAGTAGCCTTTAAGGGGCTTGAATTTGCTTTTGATGTCGTGTTGTGATACAAAGGCTCATCACAGTTGGTAGAGCGACGATGCCTCAAGTATGGGTAACGTTACCATACACAGCTAGGATGCTGCCAAATACATAAAAGGAAATTTTGCTTTAACACCACACGAGAGAAAATTTGAAAGTAATGGGGATATGAATTGGCTATCCAAGGCCGATCTATATCGACGAGGTAGAAGTCTCGCTTTCTTATTCACAGACCAGATTTACGTTTCCGTTAGACACTATCCGATGGGTGAGGTAGCAGGGGATGATATAGAGGAACTTCCTACCACAAACTTAGTGCCTAAACCCTCCAGCCGTAATCTCTTTGCAAATCTTCTTTACACATACCACCTCCTCGCTCTAAAATCATGTGAGGCCACAATTCACTCTAAACTATAACTTTTCATTAGATTCCCTTCACTAGCAAATTCTTTCAATTGGGTTACTTAGGATTCTTCCACATGTGGCACTGAGAGAAAGTCACCATAGTCCTGTGTACGTATTCATTTTGTTCTTAGGGTACACATATATTGATTGTTGCTCCATCAAAGCGCTAAACCTGAACGAACCGGCGTTTAGCATCAAACGAATGGAGAAACCTGTCGTCTGTCTCAGCCTGCTCTTCCTGCTCCGTTTCTGTGTCCTCCTCCGCATCTGATTCCACTTCTCCATCCGTTTCCCATTTCCGCTTTGCCAAAAGCCTTGCTTCCGGAGTCTTGGGCAACGTCTCAGTTTCATAGAGCACGGGGGTCTCAAATTTATTAGCCGCATTCAGCCCATCTTGGTTTTCTACGTAAACTTCGTCTTCGAAGTCTTGGGAGGTGTTAGAAAGAGGCGCTTCTTGTGATACAAATTGCGTCTCGATTTCAAGTCGAGGATATGTCCAATTCACACCAGCTTCGTTGCCAGCTAGGACGTGTATAAACCACAAAGCTAGGTTTATGGTCCAGGTGTCACAAGCTTCGGGCATTTTCTCGAAATGAGCCTCCCAAGGAATAGAAGCATACTCCAGAAGGCCATTTTTCGCTAATTGAGCTCTCACTGGCTCAGACCTTTGCGAAACTTGTGATCATCAGCTATGTCCAAAATATATTGATCTCAGGATCGGCCATTGGTTTGAGAACTCACTGGGGCTTTCCGCGATCGGCCTTACTCGGAAGATGAATGCCTCTTCGCAAGTGAGGATGCATCCGTAACGACACATATTCTGAACGCAGTAGGTAAATGTTTGTATGACTGGTAGCCCGGCAGGATTCCTTTGACTCAGTCTCCTGTTCCATTTGCCAGATTCATCAACTAGACCCCTTTCATGAATCCATCTGCTTCTCCATTTGGTTGCCACTTTGTATTCCTTGACGAATCTCTCCTTCTTTACATCCTTTTCTGATGTTGGGTTGCTCGAAACAGATCCAGAGTCGGGCTTGAATTTTGCATACGAGTGTTTACGACGCGGTGTAGGCTTTGGGATACATTTTCGGCCTGGCTGTTCTCGCTGCTTCTCTGGCGGCTCCGGTGATTCGTACTCGCAATCAGCGTCGTCAGGAGCTTTCCCCTTCTTCCATTTTACCGGGTGGAATCGGCCAACTATAGGATCAATCGCCGACATGACAACCTCCTGGTTCCACTTTTCAATCAATTCTCGAACTTCAAATTCGTCACTCTCAAGCTGGAGATTGTCCTTATCACGAATCCGGGGAGGATGAAGCTTTCTTGCTTGGAGAGCCTCTTTTAGTAGCTCTCCCCCAAAGACCTTCCCCAGCACGTCGAAGTCTTGGAACTCTTTCCATTCTTTGACTTCTGTGGGAAAATGATAGTGAGGGTTTTTGGTGTTGGTCTTGCTGTTAGGCCCAGTGTGATGAACCGTTGGGTTACGACAAGTCAGCAATTCCAGTATCGAGTCTACTGGTTCCTCAATGTTGCTCATGGTCAGGGTGTAAGACAGAAAGTGGGAAATTAGGTTGTATCAAAAAAACCAGCAGCCAATAGCAGTGTAACGAAAATGAGGGTATGCTTGGCGAATCAGAGTTGCACAGACTGTGAATGCATTGAAGAAATATTTTGTACCACTCACTGGTCGGCGGGCGATTCCCCCGAAATATATTGGCGGGAACCGCGGCAAACAAGGCTCTGCGATTCGACTACAACCAGATAAAGGAGCTGGTTACCTCCTGCAGCTTGGGTTGCATATGCATGTTGGTGACTCTGATGCACCGTAGTGGCGCACCTGTTGGCTCGTGACTCGACTCATCACACCCTCCCATCGGCCCAATTCGCGGCGGCCGACACACGGAGGATCTGCTGCAGAAGGGATCAGCTGAAGTTATAAAGCAAACATCGAGAGAGCAGTATTAGCCCCATCATCCATCACTGACTAGATACAATTGATTTTTCCCTGAGATCATGCCGAGGAAGCGTCATGTTCCCCATATTCCCGAAGAACTGCCATCCTGTGATGGCCCGAAACTTCCCCTATTCGAGCATCACAACTCAAAGATTGAATGGTTTGAACAGCTTGGGGATGGTGAGGAGGCAACACGCGATGGCTACGTCTTCCGTGTTAAGATTAAACGAGCCGAGTACGCACTTAAAGTGGTAAGACCTTGTGATATAGCTAGCTCTATACGAAGTTTGTTGTGAGAGATCTAGCTAATACTTCAGGGTTTTACAGTTCAAATTCTACGACCCCATGGAAAGTGAATACTTCTGGGAACCTCTCGTAGGGGATGTGTCACTTAATACGGCCGCCTATTATACCGATCCATTCTACGCTGAATGCCGCGCGTACGGTCGAATTCGAGAAGCCACAAAGAAAAGACCTAAGATATTTGACGCGGCAATTCGTTGCTACGGGTTCCTTTTCCTCGGTGATACAGATCAAAGATATCTGGAAGAGAAGAAGTGTGATCTGGGACTAGATAAGGTTGATCCAGCGTACCAGCGACAGACAGCCGGGGGTGTTAGGCCACGGGCGATTGTGAAAAGCCTAGCATCATCGGATCACGGCGTCACCGAGTTCAATTTGAGAAAGACTCTTGATCGTATCCATACGTTGAACCGAGGGAAAATATACAATATGGACATTCGATTAGACAACATCAGGGATGGGAAGCTAGTAGACTTTGGATCATCATGGACTGAGCCGCATATACTTCTAGACGCACTAGATGCCGACGCAGCCTACAGCTATAGAACAACAGATCGAGTGATGTTCGATGAGATGTTGGTGGAAGAAAGCATTCCAAACCCCAGGAATATTGTAGCTATGCACCCCATGACGCTGCGACGAAGATATAACTGATTTAACAAACACTTGCGAAAAAGATTTATTTTGGTTAATGTTTTATCATATGCCTTTCTTAGTGCACCTAATATATATCGATTTGTCCGCTGAACCCATCTCCGTACATGTGTTGATCCGTTCGCACAGTTCTTTCGCACTTCGAGTGGTTTGCAATGCAACAACCCAAGGCTTCTCGGCCAAACTTAAGGTCGTAACACCGGTGTTTTCCTGCACCCAGTTCCTAAAAGGATTGGGATGTAGCATCAGCACACCTTCTTACCACGTATCATGCAACTAAGCGCCTCACGCTGTCTGCAGTAAGATGGGGGCCAACCCAAATCACTCGCGCACGTCATTAGAGCCTCCAAGTGCACATCCCTGAACCCATGAACGGTTGCCACGTATAGCGAACCAATCGACAAAACGCACCGGTGAGGCTCCCATAGCCTACCATTGCATATCGCACCGCATCTTGATAGCGAAGGGAGATAGCGCAGGGTAATAGGTCCAATAAGGGGTCTCGGAAAGCTGGAGCGGCTCAATACCGCACTCTTAGGATTGTGATTGCGTTGCATATTCCTGAAGGCACCCATCACAATTAGAATGGGGGTGCATTGCGGCTGAATGCATTAGCCATCCATCATAGAGCGTCTCTATAGAAGCCGGATTGGTATTAGTCCTTGTAAAGATTACGTCCTCACGCCAAGGGAAAGTCAATTCTTGCAATTCGTTTACTAGGCTTAGAGTAGGACCAAATCTTACCAGAAATTCAAGGGTCTTTCAAACCCCCCTAGACTCATATCAACGATCTTTGCATGCCATACGGCACGGAAGTCGATCGAGCGCCACTTCCAAAGCCGAGATATCTTGAATCACCTCTACAAATTCCCATTGGTATGCTCATGCTCCCTGTAGTTTGCAATAAGAATTCAGGAAAAACGTAGAACAAATGGCCCACCTACCACGAAATCTCACCCATATCACCTGTGAGCGAAGCTTTCCATCTAAACAACACGGCACAGAACTTTCTTCACATTAGGTGAATTAGCAGCTCAAACTTCACTTTTACTGTCTTCAGGCTATTCAATAACTCAGTCTTCACTTCCCACAAGGCGACAAGCCGTAGCTCTTGAAGGGGAACTGGCCTAAGCCTACCATCGCCCAACTTCGACAATTTACAGTTTAGTTAATAGTTCAATGATAAACCCGGGAGTTTCAAACCCAAAGGTTCCTCTGCTTTAATACGTACCATGTCTAGCTCTGCCGGGTGTTGTCATTGCCGCTAACATGTGTAGCTTGAGCATCTCACCCCCGTCATGTTGAATTACGACAATTCCATGATGCGGACTCTCAAAGTCGGAAATACAAATGTATCGGATTGCCTATAGCTATATCCGATAGTAACAAAGCACGCCAATAAGCCCGATGGCGACTGGGGAGGCAGAGAGTGTTCAAAGGCGATGCATTGTTGGCATTCCGGTCAGATTGCAGCCCTCCCCCCTTTTCCCCCTATTTCTATGTTTTGGGTTAGTTTAGATGCCAACGAAGTGTTTTGAATCTCTCGTCATTCTCAGAAGCTAATCGCTTTCATCTGATCCGATAAGGAGTCACGGAAGCCAGTTCGACCGGGAAAGGGCTGCAACTTTATAAGCCAATGTTTATACCTTCACTGGAGCACGGGGATATATATACTAAACTTGGGCAAATCTTGATGAATTGTTAATTAGATAAAAGGCCGTAGCAGGCCACCCCTTTCAACATCATGTGTAGATAATTTTAGGGAGATAGCGGCTGATCATCTGTGAGGTAGGATCAAAATCTCGGCGATATAGCCTGGCGATTTACGGTGCATTAGAGCCACGAATTGGATTGGTTTGTCGTACTAAATGGTTTGGCCGTTCACTTTTAAGATACTGTGAATCACCTTAGCCCAGCTGAATTGTCACCCCATTCAATGTCGTACAAAGGGCGTTAGATGGGGCGCAGCACGCCCTTGTTGCCTACTAATTGATTCTACAAGTTTGAGCAGCTGCTTATTTCATGACTCACCTAAACTCCAGCTCATTGGGCGTGGTTCTGGATATGCCACATAGAGGAACACCAGATGGCCTGAGGTCATCTTTTTTTTTATTCATACAACGAGTCCTCATGTAGATCGTGCTTTCCTCAATGGCCGATATAGCCAGCATCTTCCCTATAATAAGCTTCTACGCACATCAACACATGATCGTAACACAACTGCTCCTCGAGGTAAACATTCCTCATACAAGACTCTACTCTCTCATCTCACCATGGTTGAAATGCCGCCGCCAACACCAAGGAGGCTGCAGCGCATCGCTTCACAGCTCGGCAAACTGTCGCTAGAGCTCGTGGAGCCCATCATTTCCACTTTGCCACTTCACAAGGCATTGGATCTCATGCTGGCTCCTCTAGGACCTGATGCGGCCCCCGGCCTTCTGATAACCCACCGTCAGCTGAGCCCTTTGGTTCAAGCCTTCATTTCTAGCCCAGCCTGGAAACACATCTTCAGAGACACCGAACTAGCCACACAGATTTTGCTTGTATGGGAAGGACTGAACCGAATTTTCAAGCTCTGTCACGGAAATGGCTATTGCAATATAATCAAAGAGATCAACCCTGCCTTCTTCCCTTGGGCCAAGGTGCAATCGACTTGGAAAATCTTAGGCCATGGAGCAGATCAGATCTCCGACGGAGATTGGCTTCTAGCCAAACTAGAAGGCGCTCTATGGTTGATGGCGGTGCCTGGAGAACAAACCGCCATATTTTCCAACTGTCCATCCAACGCAGCATTCATGATTTTACCCCCAGAGTATGGCGCCTTGCCCAACTCCCCCACGATCGATGCGCTTCCTCCTCAAGGTAAGTTCTCATTCAGTCAAGTTCAGTTGTTCGTTCTCCAAAGCACTCACACCAAATCTTGGCAGACCAAATTTTCGCAGACCAACCCGGCCTTCCACTATTCGACTTGTTCCTAGCGACTCCACGCCTTCATGAATTTCAGACGACAGGGTGGGACTTACCAACACTTTTCAAATAGATAGGCGACCTCGAAGAGGCTTGGAAAATGGTTAAAAGCAGATGGACTTTAGAGCTCCAGTCCCTTGAAGCTTTGTACAAGCGTTACCCGACCATGCTAAAGGCGGCTCTGAGGCCTCAAGTGACACAAAATCCTATGAACAAGGATCACATCCCACGAACGTTTCAACGAGCCATTCGAAAGTTCGAGGGGTTAGGCCTCCGAGGCAACGGGCAGTGGCCTTTCCTTTTCCAGTTTTCTCACCACTATCTAGTCCCCTACAACTGGTGTCTGCGTCTTTTCAGGATCGTACTGGATGAGAAGAACCCTGAAATTCCTCCCGAGTTTGGTCCAGACTTAGAGCGAGCTATCAGAGGTCTTTCATATGTCCAAAAGTACGGAGGAGGTGACGACCTAAAGTACCCGAGAATCAGAGGCTCCCAGGGAGATGCGCGCCATATGGAATTCGAGGTCCATGTTGATAGGACCACACTTCTGCCAGCCTCGCAAGCCGAGCTGCAGTGGCTAATCTCGTTTCTAACCGTTGTGAGGTGGATGGAGAGTAAGTATTTCGATCTTGCCGAGGAACTACGTCGTCCCGTTGCTCGGATCTATCGTGTTGGAAAGGGAAGGGGTCAGAAAAGGTTCAACCTAAACCCGGAGGATTACAAGGATTTGGCAGAGTCGTTACCAGCTCGAGAGGTTGCCGCGTATTTAAAAAAGGATGCGGAGCTAACCACTCGCCCCATGACCACCAACAAGGCTTGCTATCCAAGTTTGCTCGCCTTTTTTATGCCTGATATCAAAACGCCGAAAGGCCAAGATATTGCGAAATGTCTGACACCACAGGAAGGAATGTCGAAAGAGATTCAAAAGATTTTCTATGAGAGCACGATAGAAAAGATCAAGCGCCATTTCGGCAGACCACTCTCTCCGCCACCCAACGATAGCGAGCTTTTGGTGCATGAAGCCCTCGATGAGAACACGCAACCTACTGGAGCATTATCGGGATCAACCGAATGGGCTGGTGCAGTTAGGGACTATTCCAATGCGATGCAAAAGAAGCCTAAATTTCCGTCTCATCGCTGCTATATCTGTCGGCACACTGTGATCCATGAGCGAGATCTGCATCCGATGTTTACCGCCATGTGCAAACCCTGCGGTAATTTCAACTTGGCGGGCTCTAGCATGTCGTTACCCGGAAAGCTCGACCTCAACGGGAAAACCGCGTTTGTCACCGGAGGCAGAATCAACCTTGGATTTCACACAGCGCTGAGACTGCTTCGATGCGGTGCAAAAGTCATAGTATCCAGCCGTTATCCAAAAGACGCGTTTGTTCGATACCGGGATCAACCAGACTCTGGTGAATGGCTAGAGAACAGGCTCTATATTCTCGAGGCTGACTTCCGCACAGCTAATGACGCCTTTCAGCTTGCGAAACGAGTGAGGGCTGCTCTTTCAATATGGGCAATTACCTATGGATACGATACTTCCGTATTGGACATCATGGTCAACAACGCAGCCCAGACGCTGACAGATAGTAATGAAAAGGAGGAGGCAGCGGTTAACAAGGAAATCCATCTAGCAGCGTCCCTGCCTCAGCATCCTGCTTTGACGGCCGGGGCATCTTATACTCCTCGTGTCGGGGGTGGTGCATCCGCAACTAACTTCATAGGAAGTCAGAGCGGAGGAAGCCTTCCGCCCACAAGCGCCTCTACATCAGCAATCCAACCTGCACCTGAAAAATCGTCTTGGGTCCAGGACTTGACAGAGATACCCTATGCTGACGTCGTGACCGCCCAGGCCGTCAATGCTTTTGTACCTCTGATTCTTATACGTGAGCTTCTACCACTCATGTCCCGCAGTCTGGATAAACAGCCCGGTCAAATCATAAATGTTTCTTCTCGTGAGGGTATATTCGAAGACAAGCGGGATCATCCAGCTAAGCAGGGCAAGCACGTCCACACCAATATGTCGAAGGCTGCGTTGAACATGATTACTGAGACGTTGGCATCATCATCATGGAAGGACTACTACGTTGCGATGAACACTGTGGACCCTGGTTATATGAGTGCTGCTCCAGAGATGGAACACGTCTTTGATGGTGTGAGACCTCTAGGTTGGGAAGATGGTGCTGGGCGAGTATTGTGGCCAGTCGCGATGGCGTATGAGGACAAGACCGCCATATGGGGTCGTTTTTTGAAGCATTATGGAGCTGTGGGCGTGACTCCAGGCCTAGGTTAGATTAAGGTATCTTGTAACTGAATCGTTAAGGTAGATGCTACAACGCCTGGGGTTTGGAGCTCTTCTCTTGCTAGAGCCGGTTATATTAGCTTGTTAATGAACTACGTCTATTATCAACTCATCTTCATATCTCATTGTGCCTATTCAGCACCAAGTTTAATTTCTCATCAATTCCTCAATCTGAGTTCCCTATGTTCCCTAAGATTGTGGTAGACTATTGATCGACCGCTAGATATTATGATGCTTAACCAATATCTATGAATCTACTTTTCTACTTTCTCAGACTGTACTACGTACTACTTGGTAGGAAGAGTGAATCATTTCATTTCTTGATTGAATTGTGAGTCAGCCAGTACTCAAGATTATCCTGCTGTGTTCATTCCGAGATCTACGTGCGTTACGATGCATATCTTGTTGTGAAGGTGAGCAATTAGATAGGACGCTAGAGCAGTAAGTTTGCGCGAGATTCTCGGTGCATACTTTTGACAGTGAAGCGGATTACATAGAAGCTACTCGTTGCCCGGCGATGCGTTCCCAATCTCACTCTCGATTACCGATAAATCATTGATACTCAGCTGCCGTTGCCCCAGTGCTCCCTTCGCCAATTTATTTCAATGAATCATGGTTCAACAAGACTTATATTTCGTTTCGAAAGGGTATTGGTTGGAAGTGTGACAAGTTGTGTCAGCAGGTCACCTCAGCTGGCTAACGGCGAGTGCTTCCACAAACAAACAAAAAACATCTGATGCCATAGGGAGACCTCTTTGTGTTATCTGGTGCCTGATTTTAGCTTTCGATGTCGTGATTTCTAAGACTAGCCCCGCCCTCGGATCCAGAGCCGAAAGCCGGATATAAAGTCACCAAGCGTCGGCTCCTTCCACGTTGGTACGGCCTGTAGTTCTAACCCCGCAACATAACATTCAAGTTTTCAACAACATCTACTTGACAGGGCATTTCCGCGAAAAATGGCATCGTCTTTCCAGCCTGCAAGCATCCTCATAATAGGAGCCACTGGCGCTATTGGGAAATACATCACCGACAAAATTGTGGATGCCCAGCCACCGTTCCCCAAGGTCTCCATCTTCACGTCCGAGTCAACAGTCTCGAAGAAGGCCGAATACATCAACCAGCTCAAAGCCAAAGGGGCCCATATAATCACCGGTGATGTCACTAATCCCAATGATGTCAAGGCAGCATACGAAGGTGTCGACACCGTCGTCAGCGCCGTAGGCCGAAATGTCATCGACCAGCAGATCGAGCTGATCAAGCTGGCGGAAGAATCCACCTCTGTCCAGTGGTTCTTTCCCTCGGAATACGGCACAGATATTGAGTACGGCCCTGAGAGCATCAACGAAAAGCCTCACCAGCTCAAGCTCAAGGTTCGCAAGTATATCCGCGAGAATGTCAAGCGCCTCAAGTACACGTATGTGGTCACTGGGCCATACGTGGATATGTTCTTCACGCTTAAAGAACAGGCCCCCGAAGCCGGCGGCTTTGACATTGAGTCCAAGAAGGCAGTTTTCGTGGATGGCGGGGAAGGTAGAATCGGCTTTACAACAATGCCTGAGTAAGTTTAGAAGAACCAACTACAACGGTTTCCCAGAGCACGCACTGATATCGTATAGTGTTGGAAAAGCGGTGGTGGCAGCCCTCCGCCATCCAGAAGCGTCGTTTAATAAAGCTCTCAAGGTCCAATCTTTCGTTGTGACACCAAAGCAGATCCTGGCCGAGTTTGAAAAGCAGGTCGGTGGCCCAAAGTGGACGGTGACTTCCTACACTCTCCAGGAGTTGAAGGATGCGGAGAAGAAAGCATGGGGCGAAGGGAATCCAGATGCTACAAGCTACACTCTGCGACGGATTTGGTCTGAGGGAGGCACCTTGTACGAGAAAACGGACAATGAGAGCATCGGGCTTGATAACTCTCAGTTAGAGACGCTCGAGGATGGTGTGAAGAGAGCACTCACCACTGGCTGGTAGAAGAAATAGACTACATTACCATAAAAAGAAGTTCACAACACGGCACATATCCCATCCGGTATCCATACAGTACGGTTCTGCTTCAATTAACACCCTCCAAGTAGGTGAATTAAATCGTACCAGAACTATTGATCTTGAATCTTGAGTTATCCCAAGACAACTAGCCCAACACCAACAAATCATTGATACAGAACAGGATTTTTTTTATCGCTTTTTGGGGTTGCTAGTCTCAATCCAGATATATTAGGTGCATGTTGCGCAACTTACATAAAGAAAGTAGCATTGAAAGATATGGGAGTAAAGCGGATATTACATCCATAGTTGAAAAGCTATACAATCTTCAGGGTTAAGTCAATGTTAGAGCCTAGATAGGAATGTGTAGCAGAATAGACGAAAAGACCGCTGAGTTGGTATCAGAAACCAAGGCCCTGACATTCTGAGATAATCATGTTGAATTTACTAAAGATGAGGGACATGAATGAAATTTCAAAAGCTACCAAGAAGCAACACCATATATATTTTCAGCATGTCGGCACTCTGATCACTACATCGTCCGACAGCCCATGCGGGGGGGGGGGTTAAAATTGCTGTGCTTCTCAATTTTTCATTTGCCCGATCATAGAGGAAAGGGGAAACAACAACCAATGCGGGCGAGTAAAAATTGCTGTGCTCCTCACTTGTCATCTGTCCGATCCATACTAGTCTCCCCTTTTCTCTATGGCTCTCAGGCAGCAAATGACGCTGAGTTCATTCCAGCACAGCCTACCCAATGGTGGGGCGGTTGGCAAGATATTCAATTAGATATAATCATTCGGTGTAAACGATGAAGACAACGGTGTTCTTCCAGACTCACCTAGTGCCCCTGTTGGTTGCTCTCAAAAGCCAAGAACCTATCCCAATTGAAATAAAAAGTTTGCAGCAGCTGGAGCTTACCTAGACATCTTAGAACTTAGACGGGTAGGAGTAGTCGATAAACAGAATGGCATTGGATAGATTCTGCTGCCCAGGTACCTAGGTATGTGTAGCCTTTGCCTCGCTTTCGTCACATGTTGGCGGCCAAAACGTGATAGGATTCGCCGATGCACCCCCCGATCCTTGATGCAACCGACTGAACCAACGCCTTATGAATCGAGAGGCAAAAGTGCCGTGGGGGGGAGATTCTAACGCCCCCCCCCCCCCCACCACAAATCTAGATGCAGGTACGCATGTTGGTACTAACACAACCGAAGTGGGCAGTTGAACACGTATAGACCACCCGACGACGGTGTTGATGGAACTCTAGCCAGGGAGTTGCGATTTACTACCGGGTAATATCTCCCAGATGTGGTATATCAAAAGACGGTCGAATTGCGCAAGTAATAAGATAGAATGACAGTAGCCTAGGTCAGCCTTACCTCTGAATCAACTAGCCGATTCATCAACATAGCTAGTCTTATGTTGAGCGCGTGTGTGGTCAGAAATATAAATACGTAGGCATATAGGGGAGAACTCGCTTAACTACTGGCTGTAATTGATCGTAACGAGATTATCCTTCCGGGGAATGGCCTTATGATCCGAGATCTTACAATGGCTACCGATGGCGCGGCTAGGTCGCATTCCTAATACAACACCGGACTGTCACTTTCCAAAGCAATTTCTCCAACGGCCGAGAAGGTGATGCATGCTCGGCCATGGGGTGTGGGTAAGACACCTGTCAACATTGTAGAGAGAAACACATGTGAGGGATGACTTCGCGGCACTCGGCTACGGTGAAAGGAGCATAAAGGAGCATGTTGATGGAAAAACATGGGGCCCCCGCCAGCAATGAAGACCCATGGCAAATGGTACGCAAGTCGGGCCGCCACAGAAGATACACAACACAATGAAAGAGGACATGTATTGCTTGGATTGATGTCCGTTATAGCAAGGTGGAAATGCCTCATGTTGTAGGCCCGATATACCGATTTCTAAGTGAGCTGGCAGGCAGATGATATGATTGAGCTGGTGGGTGTGGCCGTCTTGATGGAATAATCAACGGTTCGCAGGGCGGGTCGTCGTCACCTACTATGCCTCAACCCTGCTCTCTGAAAATATTTTTCCGCGGCTTATTATACTAATTAATTAAAAAAGGTTCGGCATGGCACACTTACATATGCCTTCATGCCCGAACCAAACCCCCGGGCCCGGAATAGAATCCGCAGTGCTACCATGGCCGCCTATTTGTTGCAGGGAATGTTCACCAGGGTCCAGCTCAGCCGCAGGTGGAGAGCGGTTGGACAGAACAAGTGCCAAGAGCTTCGACTTATGGCCTTGAGCAAGTTTATTGCCTTTGGCGTTGAATCTTGTCTTGCTGGCTGGCTATCGCACCCTCATGCACCAACAGAAACCCCCCGCAATTACGGTAGGGTTTGGCGATGGACGCGCTAAATCTGAAGGGAGCAATGGTAAGCGAATCCTCCTCCACCCACCCTCTCAGGATCTAGGTATGTAATCTCTTAGTTCTGGAAAGGGGTTGCGTAATTTGCACCTGGCACGCAGCCGAGGACGAGAGAGCGAAAGCAGAAAGCACACCGGGAAAACAGGGGACGGTTTTTCAGCAGACCCCACGGCGGTGCAGATCGTGCGTGTCTCCATGTAACACTGCCACGACGTTCCAGGAATGGGCGATGAGGGGCCTACGTAGCCCACTGCAACCCACCGTCCGGTAGACCTAGCAGAGACAAAGGTACCGATCTTCTGGCGCCGGGAGACCAGATAGAGCTTAGATAGAGCGACGGGCACTCCGTAGTGAAAGTGTATTTCGTGGGTAATCGTAGGAATGGAATGTTATTGATACACTAAAGCGGCGAAGGCCCGGCAGACTACGATTATACAGGCGAACCTAGAGGCCCAGTGCCGATTAGCGAGCATGTGCGTAGCAATTGGGGGACATAGTGGCCACGGCAGGTGCTAGTGGCAGCTGTTACAGCAGCGTAGCGCGTGAGCTAGGGCCTGTTGGCTGCTAGAGCCTCCAGAGTCTAGACATTGACGAGTCCCGAGGATGGCAACCCGTTTCCACGGCCATGGCGCAACGTCTCTGCCTTGTGCATCTCCCCACCCTCTCGCATTTTGTGACACCGCCATACATTCCCGCTGCGCTCCAGCCATCTGGTCACCCCAACGCACCCATGCGCTAAGGCTTGTACCCTGATCTACCTAAGTGGTTGACCTCCGCAGGGGTGTTTCTGGGGGTGTTCATCGTCGCTGACCCGTCGGTCCTTGTACTACTTACCACACTCTCCTCCTCCTTACTACCTCCCATCTCATTACTCTCCGGGCCCTTCATGAGTTGAGCCAGGCACCTACGTATCGTATGTAGGTTGCCCGTGAGTTCAAGTAGCGGTTCGAGATACATGACGAGCTTTTCCATCTCTACCACGCCAAAGAGTCGAGCATTCACGAACGAGACAAAGCTTCGCCCACTGCCGTCATCCCCCTTAGGATGGTCCTGACTTGTCCAGAGAAAAACCGCATTTGAGCTGGATACTACATCAGCCGCACTCTGTGCATGCAGATCCCCCATTTGGACCAGAGGACCTCCTGCGTCACGGGTCTCTCCTACCTTATTGGTTTGGGTCGAGGCCGGCCTTGAGAAAATTTGCGTGAGCACAGCCAAGGGTGTTCTGGCTGGCTGCCATGGCGCACAATGCCGAGGATCAGCTCGGTGACGGCCCAGTTCTGCCGCTTCTATCAAGCCAAGGAAACCTACCTGATCCTCTTCTGGCCACTGAAATAGCGGACAGCGACATTGACTCCGGATATGGCGACTCGATTCGCGACGAGGCCGGCTCTATTTCCAGCTCCATGAGCAGTCTTTATCCTCCGCAGTATCATTACGGTCGTCGCTATCACGGCCTAAATCCTGGCTCCTATCAGATTCCCGATGATGACCTAGAACAAGCTCGTCTGAGCATAGTGGATTACATGTTCCAGCTGGTTCTCCATGAACGCCTTCATCTCGCCCCGGTACCGTCCAGTGCCGCCGTATTGGACATTGGCACCGGGACTGGCCACTGGGCTGTCCAGTTTGGAGACCAATATCCCGACGCCACGGTTCTCGGCATCGATCTCAGCCCAATCCAGCCCCAGTGGGTGCCGCCCAACGTCCGTTTCACCCTCGACGATGTCGAGCAGGACTGGCAGGACGATGAGCCCTACGACTATATACACTGCCGGTACATGGGCGCCACCTTGAGCGATTGGCCGCGCCTATTCTCGCAAGCCTTTAACAACCTACAACCCGGAGGCTGGCTCGAGCTTCAGGAATTGGTCAACGTTGTGCTGACCGAGTCGAGCCAAACCCCCAATACTTCCTCCGCATCATCGCACCAACCTGTACTGCCGGACCACCCCATCGCCAGGCTAATTGACAATCTGACAATCGCGTTCGACAAACTCGGTCGTCCGTTCAACCCAGGGCCAAACTTCAAGCGCTGGTGTGAGGAGACTGGCTTCCGTAATGTCACGGAGCGCCATTTCATGGTACCCATCGGCGACTGGCACCCGGAACCTCGCATGCGCGAGCTGGGGTCCCTCATGGCCGTCAACATCGCCGAGGGCGTTGACGCCTACACGACCAAGGTCTTCCAGGACACCCTGGGCTGGGACCAAAAGGCAATAGCCGATCTTAATGCCGATGTGCGGGCGGCGGTACAGCAATCTAGCAGAGACAAGTTGCTGTATGAACTGGTGGTTGTGACGGCGCAGAAGCCACATCTATAATGACTGTGCTTTTTCTTCACCCCATCCACTCGGCTCGACGAGGTGTCACATTCGCCTTGGCGGCTTACTGAATATTTAAACGGTTTCTCTGGGTCTGGATCCAATACTTTGATTTCCAGGACCAACGGACATATCACGGAACGGTCTATTTATATACACTAATGAAGGTGGTGCGAGAAGTCAGAAGTTGCTGCGCCTGACTCAAAAACTCGGCACCATCCTTCCTATTTCAGAGCTTCGAGTATGAAAACTACGGCAATATCCCGAAACGGGATGAAAGGTGCCGTTTACCTCTCACCGTCACCTCGGATGTTATTTTGACACTATTTGTTCCATTATCGGATAGGCGTTTTGTACAATATGTTGGTGAATCTGGGTTTCACATGATAATGATATATAACGACTATATAGGTTGTGGGAGTTCTGTTGTATGGGATTAAATTTTTACTTGCTCATTTATGGCGGTGTGCGAAAGAGGGCGCACGAAGCGGCGTCTGCAAAGGCCAGGACGGAAAAGCAGCTCATCCTTTACCGCCAGGAATATGATGAGCGGGAGGGCGGAGCAGAATTAAGTAAGGGTAGCTTACTCGACGAAAACCAAATACCTACCTCATCAGCTACCGAAGACTGAGTGCAAGTGATACAACCTCGAGAGCAAGAATGATGCTTCCGGCTACCAGAAGGCATGGTTGAGAATGTGAGATTTAGAGATTATCACATTTGCTCTTGTTGAGTCTGGAGAATGAATAGACTGCTTCATGAGCGCCGATACCCGGCCAAGGCTGTAGAGATTCATGATGATATTTCCCCACCCCCAATTATCCAACGTGGTGGGCATGAGGGCATGCTAACATTTATACATGTTCTATAAGCCTCTCGCATAGCGGAGACATGTAGTTGTTACATTATAGTTACAGTTCTACTCCAATTGTTCATCATTCACAGCTTAAAATTGACGTAAACGGCCCAGTATCCTCTCCCTGACAACCTTGCTGGCAACCTCTGCGCCGTGCTGCAGGGTGATGGCGCCAATGATGGCAAGGACGGCACCATTCATAACAACCTCTACACCTGAGGACTCGAGGGCGTGGGGCTGTTGGAGAAGATTATCAGCACATATCGGGACAAGTAGGGCCTAGATCCCCAGGCCGATTGGAATTGTCACTTACGAGTCTGGGCTTCCACCGAACCACATTGAGCATGCCCACACTCTGTGCAAGCTTGTAGATGCTTTCCTTGCTGGCTACGGTCTGGGGGGTCCTCACATTGAGGTTATCGACTTGTGACAGCTGCGGCGACTCGAATGGTTGTCTCTCGCTCTCGAAATCGTCAATGGCCTTTGCTCCCGGCAGCGGCTCCTGACTCACAATGTCCTTCGCTGCTTCCATGACAAGCGTCATACGACCTATCAAGAAGTTCCGTTAGCCCATATTCCAATCGGTCAACGCCTCAATTGACACATAGGGTCAATTGAGAAAGGCGGAGCGTACCCATAAGTGCCAGCTTGTCATTGAATCCTCTCCTTCCCTGGTCGAAGCTCTTGTGTGTGATGGCGAGCCACTTCAGCTCGTCGGGGAGCATCTTGCTTCCATTGGGGCCCAACAGCTCGTCGTACATCTCGTTCAGGACGCGGGGGTCGTTGTTGACTGCCCAGATTTTGTTCTGGGGCTTCTTGGCAAAGTCCATCCGGATCGGTGCGCTCATGCCCTCGGGCGTGACTTCCCATCTCCCCCTTCGTGCTCGGTAGGCCGTCGAGGCATCGGGGGTGGTGTTGGTGGTGGCGGTTGTGGAATAGCAGGCGGCGCGCAGGCTGGCGGCTCTGAGGGCCTGCTGGCCTCGCGCCAGAGCTGATCGGCACGGCTGCATGGCCATTGTGAGGGAGGCGAGAGGGCAATGGACGGGGTGGTGGGCGGTCGGAGTTGGAGATCGAAATCCTTGCTTTGCAGAGCCGCTCGATGCCAGCCAAGAATCGGTCGCGAACATTTTCTGAGATCACGTGCTCTGGTGGCTCGTGAGAGTGGCTTTTGAGGTACGTACCTTCCGACTGCGAACCAGAGGACCCACCCCCGAACTTTACTTGGTGTACAGGTACTAACCTTTCTGGGGCGGATTATTACAGAGGTGCGTACCGGCACGACCCATCATCAAAGCTCCCAGCCGTCGCCCTTCTCTCAACCTTCCCTGATATGAAGGAAGTCACTGGTTTCCATAGAATATTATGGCCCAGTGCTTCCAGTTCTTTTTCGAGCTGCCATGAGTTCCTAATTTCCCATGGAAGGAATTCAATCGACATTTCTTAGTCTCAGCAAATGAACACGAGCTGGAGACGCGCTTGACTTTGCGTTGTTCCACCACATCAGTACGGACAGAATCGTTGGACGAGTAGCCGAACCACCACGGCAATGGCTTCCACAATGGCCAGCTCCTCGTTCTCCGAAGACACTCTTCGATCCCGCCTAGCGGCTGTTCTCCCAAAGGGCTTCGCTTTCGGCATCCATCATGTCTCGACACCTCCAATCAAGTCCGAAGCTCTCTACGCCGCTCCACCCAAAGAACGACCAGAACGCACCTTTGTCGAAAAGCACTTTCTCGCCGTCTCAATTGACCACCCTTCTGCCGAAAATGAGACCCAGAAGGTCCTCGTCCTCGGTCTCGAGATCTACATCTACACCACAGCGAGAGCCACGACCATATTCGTCTCCAAAGCAGACTCTACTGGCTACTTGCACCTGCTCGACCTACCCAAGGGAACTCCGAGCCCCATCCGCACGATAACCGCCACGTTTGTCGAATTCCTTGTCCATAACCGTCGCCGAAAGGATACCCAGCTGGTCGTCAGTCTCTTTGCTCGTGCTCAAGACCAGTATCTATTTCCTGGCAGCGTCGAATACAAGGGGAAGCATGTTCTGGACGATCGTGGGCTTATAAAATGGTGGTGCCGGGTGCTCAACCCGCTTCTCGATGACCCGGTGGACGGTTATATCCTCGTTCCGGGGCTGGAGACAAATGAGATGAAGGCCTTCATCCCCAAGGGCACCAGCCAGTCGGCGCGATGGTCGGTTGGCCACCCCTTGATGCGCATCTCGCACTACGCTCGGCAGTTCGACTGGGTCCCGCCGCGCTGCCTCATTCCTCAGTTCCCCGACGACCCCAAGTCCCGCTTTCGCGATGAACTTGATGCCGACGCGCTGAACTCGGCCATCTACCGAACAACTGGAAATTGGAAAACGGTCCGCACATTGGACACTTTCTGGGAAATGATGGCCTATCGCCAGGAATGCTCGAGTGGCCGTATGACTGGATTCATCTGGGCCGTTTATGACGATGCCAAGCCGAAGGCAAGTGACGAGGATGCAAAGCCTGCAGTGGCAGCAGACACAGCGGATGAGCCACCGTCAACCCCCTCTAAACAACGGACAATAAATGTTGCGCCGCAGACTACTCCCCGGAAGCTCTTCCCGTCTCGATCAGATGCTAAACCATATGACGAGAGACACGAGCTAAGGGTGAGAAAAGCAAAGGAAAGGAGGCGGAAGAAGAAGCTCACAGGCCCCATTATTCCGCGCACGGTGCGGATGGATGCCTTTCAAAAGATGAAGCGCCTATTGGATCGCCCAGCCTATACAGCCTACTATGCGTGGGGTGTATCTGGCCGTGGAGAACTGATCGTCAGTGAAGCTAAGTACAAACGGATCATGGATATTCTCCTACACTTGGATTTTGCGACCCTGGAAAAGTCGGTAGCAGGGACTCGTCGCTGGCTTAGCGAGGTCGGCCTCGGAGCGAGCTGGGGGTATACTGTTGAAGGTGAGAACGAAGTTGCTCCTCAAGAGATAACTCAGGATGGGTCTGGGCTGTCGCAGGTCAACAATTTGACCACCCTGGTTAAGAGGAAGCGGAGCGATACCCAAAATGACACCACACCGCAGGTGAATGTCTTGGGCGCTGGGTTGATTAGAAAAAAGAGCAAGGCGGAGGAAGAACCGGCGAAGCCAGCCGTAAATGTCCTGGGCGAAGGACTCGTGCGGAAGAAACCAAAAGCTTGAACATGAATCAAGGATAGAGCAAATCAGCGCGGCGTTTGGACCTGGGAAAAATTGGACAATTGTATCAGCGCACAATGCAGATGAGGGCATCCAGCATTGGGGTGAAAATGAAGTTTTATTTTGGACATAGTCATGGGTCGAATCAGTCGACATTGCTGGCATACAACACTATTTGCTAACAACATTTTTAATGAATAACTAAAGGACAAATCAGGGAAGCTTCACCCATCACCCTGTATCTCATATGTGACCATTCCGTGTAATTATAGCGACCTAATTATCTTCATCCCACTTACACGGGGAGTGCCACTAACAGCTCAGGGGCCTTAAAGAGAGGAAAGCCAACCAGGGCAAATCACCGATGCTCAAGTATACCAGCCGTGAAATGTTAGAGGTCATTTTCTTCATTTTTATATGCGCTATCTTTTGTTTAAATGGATTCTACAAGACATGACGGGGGAACGGGTAACGGTCAACGGACAGGGAATAATCATCTACGACTTGAGGAACCTCATGTTGACCGGTGTGATGGCCTTGCCGCCCGCCAGCACGGCCATGATATTCCGCATACTCAGCTCCTCGAACCCCTTGTGCGTGTCCACCGTCCCCCCCGCGTTGTGACAGGTGATCATCACCTTGCCCTTCCTCGCCAGCTCGCGCAGCCGCGGGTGGACGTTGGGCTCGTCCGGGTGGACATCGAGGGCGGCGGACGACAGC